AGGACGTCGGGCGCGAAGGTGACCCCTATGCAGTCGATTCCGAATCGTCTGGCCACTCACTCTCACACCAGTGTCTGTTTGAAGACGAGCGCTGATCTGATTTGCTGTGATGACACGATTTCTCAAGGCCAAGGTACGGATAAATCGATCCTGGGATTGAGTTGTCGCCCTTGGTCGACCTGAGCGTGGTCTGTCCTGTACAGATTGTGTATCACGGTATCTGGACCATAGCCTGCTTATGACAGACTGAGAAACATTCATCGTCCGCGCCACAACCGCCTGTGTTGTGCCGATCTGTAGCATGCCAAGGGCACGTAACCTTTCATTTTGGGTAAGCCGACGCATATCAAAATTTGTTTTCTGGTCACTAAAACAATTAAACTGATGTTTCCACCCTGGAATTCAATGCCACAATGACTGTAACATTCAAAGTCAGAGTCGTGCAAATCTTGGGTTGGACCCCCATGATGATCCCAAGCATCACCTGCATTCCATGCGGTAGCTATTGGTGCGTTTGGGCGTCACATGTAACTGGAAATGTTTCTTCTGTTAGGTTCTATAGTGACTTTTTTCGTAGTCATTTGCATATTTTAGTATTATGCCCCCAAAATCAAATATCCCCTACTTTTTTTGAATAGTATATAATTATAAGAAAAGCCGAACTTAGTATGTTGAAGAAATGGAAGTTTCGAATTTTCTTTTAAAATGTGTAATTGTGTATCGCCTTTGGCAGTGTACTTAAAATAAAGAGATGTTATTCGGGAAAGAAATATAGTTCTTTATTGTTACATATTGTCAAAAATCGTAACGCCTGTGAATAGAAAACACTATATAGCGTTGTAGCTGGTATGTTACTATAAATTGACGGATATTTTACTACTTCAAAACCAAATTTATCCGTTTTGTCGCAAATACCGACATTAAATTTATTGTTAATTATATTAATACCCAGGTCAAGAACAGATGCATTTATAGTGCCATAATTTTCTTTATGTAATATTAGTTCTGGGGGATATATTTCTATTTTATATTTGTTGAAAGTTCCGTTATCATTCATGGGTGTTATGTCATCAATGTACCGGAAGGTATAGTTTAGACTTTTAGCTACTTTGTAATAAGTTTTTCGTTTATGATCCTGAAAGCAGAATTCATATTTATATAAATGTGCATTTGCCATAAATGGAGCGGTGTCAGTTCCCATTGGTAAACCAATAGTTTGCTGTATTATTTGATCGACAACCTCAAAATATGGCATTGTCAATGAGAAAATGTATGATATTTTGAAACTTTCTTTATTAAAAAAAACTTCAATGTCGGCCTTGTGACGTTTTATAATCCATTTAGCATCTTCTGAGTAAATGGCCATCAAGTTTCTGCCTTTCCCGAAAGCTCCATTCAAAGCTTTATCCACAAACCGGGTCTGAATGTTGAAGCATAGTATACAAAGTAGAAAAAATGAACGTTTCTATTGTTTTTGCATTTAATTGATTTTATTTTAAGTATCTAATATGGGTTTATTTTTATCAATTAGGAAAAAACTATTAATTCCAATATAACTACGAAGTGTTCTGCACCAAATGGCAAGTTGGGTTTGGCATAATTTAAGTGCTTTGGTAAAAGTTTTAGCTAAAGGTTTTGTTTTGCAGATGCTGGAGAATATTTCGGTATAGAATAAATGTAAGGTAGTGCATCCATATTGACACTGTCTTTTTAAAAAATCATTACTCCAGTTGAGAAACGTCAGGTTGTTATGTTATTCTGAATAGACGCATTGCATAAAACTTGCCAAATGTTTTATTGTATATTTGTGACCACATCTCCAACTTAACCTGAGCAATAAGGCTCCTTCCCAAACACAGAATTGAACCCAGGAAATGTTCTCAAAAATGCAACCTGACTTCTGAGATGGTAATGTAATGTATGATTTTCATGTAACTCATGCTGTTCACCGGGACCGGCCCTATAAAATGCACCCCCATACCTGGTTGAATCATTCACACTACAACGTCAGCAGCATGCCACGACTCACGACAGCTCAGAGGAACCATGCGCTTGGAAGACTCGACGCTGGCCACACTGTCAAAGCCGTTGCCAATCACTTCCAGGTCAATGTTCGAACCATCTATAGGCTAGAGCACCACGAATGATCGCCTCCCAACTGGTAGATCAAGGATTACCACAAGGCGACAAAACCGCCATGTTGTGCGAGAGCACGCGCAGAATCCCTTCACACAGGCATCGAGACAGCACGTCAGACAGTGGGAACACACGGAAGACCCATCGGTACCGATACAGTACGCCGACGTCTCACCAGAGAGAACATCCTTTGCCGTAGACCTTGCCGTGAACCGATCCTCACCCCTCGCCATCGACGTAAACACAAGAACTGGCGACACAGGTAATGGATAACTGTTCTGTTCACATATGAGAGTCGGTATTGCGTATCAACTGCAGATGGCAGGACCAGAATATAGCGTCGACGTGGCTAGCGTTATTCTGACCAATGTGTCATGGAACGAGACTCATGGGGAGGTTTGGGGTATAATCGGCCTGAACCAGAGAGTGGGTCCTGTGGTGTTCCAAAATCTTGGTCCAGGAAGAGGAGGCGGCATCACAGTAGTGCGCTACATCGATCAAGCTCTCAGACCCCACGTCAACGTTTTCCAGCACGACAACGCCCGTGCCCACACCGCCAGAGTTACTACAGCAGAACGGTGCAAACGTTATGCACTGAACATCTTTGGGACGAAATTCAATGGAGACTTAAAATAACGTCGTACCGAAACCAAACACAGCCGATGGATTGGGCCAGGCTCTGAGAGTGTGGTTCCAGTTACCAGTGGCGTTCATCAATCGTCCGGTCCACTCCATGTACAAACGCTGCGCTGCTGTTATTGACACTCGCGGTGGACTCACCAGATACTGATGTAAAGACTGTGTACAGACTCTAAACCTTCTTGTAATGTCTTGGAAGAATTGTAATGAATTAATCACGAATGATTTGACGAAAGTGCCTCTCTGGTTTTGAAATCGTACTGACGTTTTGTTTGCTGTTTAGTATATGTCGTTTTTGGTATTGAGCCAAAGTCCAACTTAAGTAAGAATATTTCTAAGATAGTATTTTTTACAGGTAAAAGGAATATTGTTGCTAGCCTTATCGACAGGCGTTGAAACAAATCTCTCTTGAAGAGTTGCAAGACATTCAACTGCAAATGTGTTATTTAGGACCTCAGGTTGGGGGCATCTTGGGTTTTGTTTTATATATTTGATTCTCTTTGACAAGAGATCGAAAACAGTTTTTTTTCCATTCTCCAAAAGATTCTAATTTATGAGACCAAGCTACTATACATTTCCCGATTTGAGATTTTAGATTATTATGTAACTTTTTGAAATTAGTTTTGTTTCGTTGTGGTCCAAATTGTGGTATAAAGCGGAAAAGGTTTTTAAGATTTTTATCTGCAACAATATCGACGTTTCCTGTCAGTATATGGTCATGAAACTTATCTTTAAAGGGTGTGTTGGCGCATTGACATGTTGTATTATCGTAAATGTCAATAAATTCTTGTACGTTAAGGTGTTCAGTTTCCTGGTAGTTAAATATTTTATTACGAATTGGAGGTGTAAAAATTTGTATACGACTGTAGGTGAAATTTTTAGAATAGGATCTGGTCGAGATTTAATTACTGATCGGTCTCTAAAGATTCTATTCAGTCCAAAGTCTTGTATATGTTTATCTGTAAAAATGATTTTACAAAATACATCAAGTTTTTTCTTACGTACTTTATAAGGTTGCATTGGATGCTTAGGTGAAAATTTACTATTTATCAAATCGATTATAACATCGTAATATTGAAGAAGAAAACATTCATTAAGTTGATTAGGTGAAAATTTACTATTTATCAAATCGATTATAACATCGTAATATTGAAGAAAAAAACATTCATTAAGTTGATTAGAATAGATGATATTCTGTATGAGGACACCATGTTTCTTAGCTGTTGATTTTTTCAAAGTGTGTACAATTTGTCGGGCTAGGTTGAATACACAAGTATTTAATATCATGGATTTAGCTGTTCTAGTTAACAGAAATCATTGAAAATCAATATATTTGTTCGTCTGAAGAGCTTAAACGATTATATATTGTCACAATCTTTATGATAATGAAACATAAAAGTGTTGTTTTTATACTTTTAAAATAGTGAACAATTATACTACATATTCTTAACAGGAAGTTCTAAAAGGCATGGTTTTTGGGTCAGTCTACTGAGGCTTAATGAACAGGGGGTTTAGACCAGTCCACTATGGCAGTGATAATATTGTGGCAGGGATGACGGTTATAACTGCCTGTAGCTGGAACTATAACATCCCTGTTTTTCTAAAATAAAACATATTATTAATATTATGACAATGACTGAAATTAACTTGTAAGTCTTTAACTTTAAAAATTGTTCAAATAAGCACATTTTAGTTTTTTCGTAAAGTTAATATGTACAGTTACACATCCAAACGCGCTGGACTTTTGCCAGTGCGTCCACTCGGTGTTGTGTAATAGTTTTTTGTGGTCTTTAATTCTGAGGGTCGTCGTTGTTGTTGTGGGCATTGGGTAATTGGTTCTGGTTGTTTAGCAGGTTGTTGCTTAATTGGATTATGATCAGGAGAATCTTCAAAATGAACATTTTTAGTGTTTCGTGGAATGTCTCTTAATTGTGATCTATTCCGGTGTAATGTTCGTGCTGAATCAGTTGTGGCTATGTAGGATCGTGGAATGACTCTAACTGCATTATCGAAGACAGGTGATTCCCATCTCTTGGTTGTTGGATTCTGGATACGGACCCGTGGCCTGGAAGTAGAGTAGATAACGCCTTTGAGTGTTTATCATGGCTCTGCTTTTGGGTACTTTGACGTTGTAGTATACTAATACATACAAAATGATAAGGTTCCTAAAGAACGATAAACCACGGACACATCAAAACTTGGTCGGGGACATTTTTATTACCAGAAGCACGTGTACACCAAAGCACTATGGGTAAAATGAACACCAGAATATTCTACCGGTATGACATCATACATAACGTAATAATAATAATACGAAGCGTAACCATAAATACTACATTCCTCCCCCTTTAAAAAGTTGTACTGTTCACATAAACTAAAATGTCTCTATTTGAGGGAACAAAACAAAAAAACCGTTAATTATTTAAAAATTTCACACAAATAGTTCACATAGTTAACTTCTCTGGTGGTTTTCGAACTCTCTGTGGGTAACGTTGTTTGGTATCAACTGGCTTGACGGGTGATGTTGGAGTATCAATACTTGTTGCTTGAGTACTTGTAGTCGATGAAGTACATGCAGTATTAGAAAGATTAGGCAATAACAAATCTGGTCCATAATCGGGTACTAACGGTTTAGATGATGTTATATCAATCTCTGTATCGGTTGGACTGTTACCATTTGAATCGACAGTATCATTACCAGGTAACAAATGATCAATGTGACAATAACGAATTTTACCCCCGGTTCGGACAAGAAAGGTCTGTAAACCTAATTTTTTTGTTATACGACCAGGAAGCCACCTATTAATGTCTCCTTGAAAGTTTTTAACCTGAACGAATTGTCCGACTTCAAATGAACGCACTCTAACTCGGCTGTCATGATTCTTTGCTTGCAGCTCTTGTTTATGAGTGACAGTCTGTTCAAGATTTGGTTTCAACAATGTAAACCGATTACGAATTTGTCTTTTCAAAAACAGCTCGCTTGGTGCACACCCAGTTACAGTGTGTGGAGTAATTCTGTATGTTAATAAAAAGTTATCAAGTCTATGTTGTAGAGTTTGGTTGGTATGACCTTCCATAATTTGTTTCAATAAACCTTGTTTAACGGTTTGTACTGATCTTTCCGCAGCTCCATTTGATGCAGGATGATATGGTGGAGTTAAAATTTGACGCACTCCATTTTTACTTAGAAAATCCTTGAATTCATAACTGATAAACTGAGGACCGTTATCTGATACCACATCCTCTGGAAGACCATATGATGCAAATAATGTTCTTAAAGTTTCTATGGTTTTACGGGATGTAGTACTGGTCATATGAAATACTTCAAGCCACTTGGAAAAACTATCAATAACTATTAAGAAATGCCGTCTCTGAAATTCAGCAAAATCGATGTGCAATCGTTGCCACACGCGTTTAGGCCATTTCCAAGGTATCAATGGTGAGGCTGGTGGTGATTTTCTTAGTGCTAAACAAATTCCACAGCCGCGCACTTTATCTTCTATATCTTGATCGATTGAAGGCCACCATATGTAGCTTCTCGCTAGTGACTTCATGCTCGACATACCAGGATGGACTTCATGTAAGTCATTAAGTAAACGTTCACGGAATTTTGCAGGTATAATGACTCTCATACCCTAAAGTAAACAACCTTGATCTGTACTCAACTCTAGATTTGGCTGATGTACAATATTTGGCCATCAAGTTAATGTATACTGGAGACAAGCGATAGAACGGGATCATTTCGAGTTGATTCTGCAATTTTCTGACTGTTGACAGGAAGTTCATTTAAATATGTGAAATAGTAAATATCTGCTTCTTCGGATGTGCTTGATTCAGACTCGTTAACTAGACATCTGGACATCGCATCAGCATTACAGTGATCTTCAGAACGTCGGTATACTATTTCATAGTTATAGGCAGGAAGAATCAATGCCCATCTCTGGAGTCGTGCAGCTGCCAGTGTTGGTACTGCTGCATGTGGACCTAGGATCGTTGTCAATGGTTTATGATCAGTCTCAAGAATAAAAGATCGCCCATACAAATACTGGTGGAACTTCTTGACACCAAATATGATTGACATCGCCTCCTTCTCTAATTGCGAATAATTTTTCTCGCTGGAACTTAATGTTCTGGACGCAAAAGCAATAGGTTTTTCCTGTTGGGTCATTCTTGATTGCCTCTACACGAAAAACATTAGACCAGTCTAATTTAACTTTTTCCAGCCAATTTCTACCTAAAAGTATAGGGTTATCTCCCTTCACTACGATAATTGGTAAAGTTGCCTGCTGGTTGTTGTATTTAACTATGGCATCAAACTGTCCAAGTACAGGCAGTTGTTCTCCAGAATAGGTTTTCATTAGAACTTCTGACTTGTGTAGTGAAATGTTACCAAATTTCTCGGAAACAGCACCCTCTGGAAATACAGTCAAAGCAGCACCTGTGTCCACTTCCAATATGGTTGGAACAGCATTAACAGACATTTCAACGAGGTAGGGCGATTTATCACCATTGGCGTGGTAGACTGAATATAAACCAAACCTATCGTCTTCATCTTCAGTTAAATAATGAGTATCATAACCCTTATTTCTCTTGGTTGGGCACATTTTGGCTATGTGGCCCCTCTGCGAGCAAACAAAACACTCAGATGTTCTAAAAGAACACTTGTTTGGCTGATGGTGGTTTCCACAACGAAAGCATCTCGACACATTATGGCCTTTAGACAGTCCCTTACTATTGGATGAATTATTATAACTATTGTATTTATTTCCACTATGAGGATTTTTATACTGATAATTTGTGGTTGACTTCTTGTGATGCACTATCTTATTCACTGGCTTACTAGATGAATTAAAATCTTGATTGTTGGGTTTTAATTCCAAACTGTTTTTAACTGCTAGCTCCATTGCAACAGCGATTTCTACGGCATTTTTTAGCTCAAGATTGGCTACAGCCAATAATTTTCTCTGTATAGCAGCATCTTTCAAACCACATACAAGTCTATCTCGCAGTGCCTGACTCAAAAATTCTCCAAAATCACATGTAGTTGCTAACTGTTTTAGTGCCACTAAATAATTAGACACATTTTCCTCCTCTTTCTGGTTTCTCTGATGAAACTTAAAACGCTCAGCGATCACGACTGGCGTAGGTGAAAAATGATTTTTCAAGGCCTCGACAAGCTCCCTATAAGACTTGGTACTAGGCAAATCCGGTGCTAAAATACTCTTCATTAGTCCGTACGTTGAAGAACCCACAAGGGTCAACAACATCGGCACTTGTTTATCATCAGTTACTTCATTCGCTAAAAAATATTGTTCTAAACGCTCAACATAACTGTCCCACTTTTCTTTGTTTTCATCGAACTCGTCGATTCTTCCGATGTCCGACGGCATTTCCACGCTTCAAAAACAATTCTGTTACAATGATCAGTTTAACGCCACAGTGTCCCAATTATCGTAGATCCCATCCTCGTCGCCAATAGTAGTATACTCATACATACAAAATGATAAGGTTCCTAAAGAACGATAAACCACGGACACATCAAAACTTGATCGGGGACATCTTTTATTACCAGAAGCAAATGTACACCAAAGCACTATGGGTAAAATGAACACCAGAATATTCTACCGGTATGACGTCATACATAACGTAATAATAATAATACGAAGCGTAACCATAAATACTACATTATAAATACTACAGACGTTGCTTCAGAATATCAACGATTCCGTCGTTTTCACCAAGGTTATGTTTTCGAGCCAAGTTGTCTTGAACAGGTCTTCCATAAAGTAGTTCAGCTGGTGATGGGAGTTTGTTGTCAACTGGCGTACCTTGAAGACATAGAAGGACAATATTTTGATCAGTTTGGGTCTCTACCGCTTTCTTTAATGTTCTTTTTACTATTTTGATTTGACAATGCGGCGAACTTGTAATGTGTTGGAAACCATATCTGTTTGCTAAGTCTCTGTATGCTTGTCCATCACATCGTGGTCCGTTGTCGGAACGCACAATCCTTGGTGTGCCATGCTCGCTGAAAATTTGTTTGGTTAGATCAGTGACGGTTTTATTGTGGCATTTCCTTGTGGCAATTTTCGCACAAAGGGAAACTTTGAATAATAATCTGAAATAAGGGGGTATTCTCTATCGTTGAATAAGTCTGTTCCGATGGTATGCCATGGTTTTGATGGTATATCGGATGGTATGAGGGGCTCTTTGGATTATTGTGGCGAGTAATTTTGGCACAATTTTTTGTGATATTGACTGTATCGGAATTCAGATTCCTCCAAAACACAGACGTACTGGCTCTCAGCTTAGTTTTTTTTTTCAACACCCTGATGAGCTTCATGGAGTCTCTGGGGAATATCCTGTTTTAATGAATCTGGAAAATGATTCTCGGTCCCTTGAGTAGGATACTCTTCTTCTATGTATGTCCAATATGGCTTGATAGACATTAGGACATTTTTAATAGTGTTAGGCCATCCATAGTAAATCATCTTTCAGAATTATTAGTTTTTGATCTTGCTGAGTTGCAACTTTGATCTTGTCAGTCATGTCGTTTGTGAAATTTGGCATAATGTCATGAATGTGTACATCCATGTCCTGTATGGCACTATATTCTTGCGTTGCGTTGAAGACGTGGTGGTGCCGAAACTAGGTGTTTGAGGTATATGGCTTCCAGTGGTTTATGGTCTGATTCTATTATGAAGGTTCGACCATATAGATATGTTTGAAATCTCTCACAACCAAAAACAATAGCAAGTAGTCACGGTCAATGTTGGCGTAGCGAGAGTCTACGTTTGTTACAGTTTTGCTTGCAAAGGCGATTGGCTTGTTTTCTTGTAGTAGATTGGCACCCAAACCTATTAAAGATGCGTCAACTTGTAACGTTATAGGTTTCGTTTAATCAAAGTAGGTTAGAGTTGTTTGCTCACTAATATTGTCTTTGATTTCGTCGAACGCTGTTTGATGGCTACCAGTCCACTGGAATATGTCGTTTTTCTTGATGAATTCACTTAAGGGTACAGTTAACTGGCGTAGGTTTGGTATAAAGACCTAGGAAAGTCTGTAGTTTAGCCATACCTCTGGCAGTAATTATCGGAAATAGTTAAAAATCAAGAGGCTTCTTCGTCTCATGACCTTAAGCCTGGCGCACGACTACGCGGTGACATTGGCGATTTCGGTCGCCGACGATGAAAAAACTCGCCTAGTGTGTGCACTCGGTCGTTAGCGATTTTTCGTCGCGGCGATGGTCGCCAATATCAGACATGTTTGATATGATCGCCAAAGTCGTTGCTTCGTCGGCAACAAATCGTGTAATGTGCTCACCGGCGACAAGATAAGCGACGACCAAGGAAATAAATTCACCTATTAAACCAATCATTTTTGCTTATTCTTCTCATGTGACATAACCACACACGAGGTTTCTCGGAATTTTTTTCTGTTGCATGTATAAGTGGCTCGGGTAGTCTAATTTAGGCCTAACAAATTGAAGTTAAGTTTGCAATTCTGGTACTTATTAAATGTGTGAGGCCCAGTGGATTGTTCTGTCTATATAGCAATATACTCAGTAATAATATAGTCCTAGGATTCATAGATGGTAAGTAGAATGGACCCCCCCCCCCCAGTACCTGTACTGAGAAAACAGAGGGTTACAGTCAATCACTCTCCTGGGCTTATTGGTTGTCCCATCTTGGTTGTTTGTTTGGTAATGAGAGGATTTATTATATTTAGGATACTCTGGAATATTTCTGGACTCATCCTCACGTAGCCTGTTTTCTATACATACAAGAGTCGCCCAATTTCAGCTCGTTACTTGGAATACTATAAACTCGCTGCCTGATCATCATGTACAAATATTAATTGAAGTATTCAACGCGATAACGACTTAAACACATTAAGAGATGTCACATGACTAAGCACGTGACAGGTTATTTTGTTTTTCGTGATTGCCAAAGTCGTCGTGCAGTGTGCTCACTCCACTTATGTTGCGGCGATATTTGTCGTCAAAATCGTCGCTTAAGTTGTCGCATAGTGTGCACCAAGCTTTAAACACAAGATTTTTCATTAACTTTATCCTCTAGAGCATCCACAAGTGATCAAGGGCCATAAATCTGGGAGTAATTATCCGAAATCGGTGAAAATCAATAGGATTCTTCGTCTCGTGACCTTTTAAGAAATACTGTGTGTAAGTCAATCGAATATTAACTTTAGCCTCGAGAGCATCCACAAGATTTTTGCAAAGTAATCACGAGCCATAACCCTAGACTCTAGAGTGTCCAAAAGCCATTGTGGACGCCAGACCTACCCCATTTCAATATCCCCACTTCCCTTCCCTCAACCAACTTCGTTCGGCACAGGTGAATAAAGAGCTGACAGTTCTCGCTATAGTAGTTAATAATGTAAAGCGAATATGTTGTCATTGCCAAAAAACAAAATAGGTCAAAATTTTTCAGCGATGGTCGAGTTCGAATTTCGTTAAAATTGGACCGAAACTGACAAACAAAATGGCGCCCCTTGTTTGCTCATCGTGTAAAAGTATGCAATACCAAGGTTGTGGAACCCTAGAAGTCACAATTTTTATTCGATTTTGATGGTGCTTAAAATATATATTTATATCCCAAAGATCTTGGTTCCTCGATATTCGTGCATATTGGACAGTACTTTCACGGATTATGGCCCCTGATTTTTGGCATGTTCTCTGTCCATCTCTTGCAAAATGTTGGCATAGCTTGCATGATAACCGCTTGTTAATTTAAATCATTAAACACAAAATCGTATTTAAATCTGTTGAAAATCTAAAGCACCCGATGCCATCGGGGGTTGATTAAATTTCTAATTAATAATTTATATAACATTGACAAGTGAATAAATGTCTAATTAATAATTTACATAGCATTTAAGCTTAGCTCTTGAATAATGTCCCTTTAAAATGTTCACATGATTCTACAAAGTGAGAAAGAACCATAAGTCTAGAAGTAATTAACACAAATTGTTGAAATGCCACAGGCTTCATTGTTTCACTAATTAACTAAGGCAAGTAGATGGAAAATTCACAAGATCTTACAAAGGCCAACAACTGTAGCAGTAATTAACTTCTTCATTTGATTAATCTGAAGAATGCACTTAAATTTCAAGTGTTCACAAGATATGACAAAGTAATCAAGGGAAATAACTCTTGAAGTCATCAGGAGCCAAACCACCATTAATGCCCCATTGACTTCAATAATTCTGGCCCCTTTGCCCACCTCCAACTTTTCCCAAAATTTTTGTTGGGCTGAATGCTTTTCACTACAGACAGGGGAACAAATGGTCATGTGTTTGCACTAAAATTTGTAAGAGGTTGACCACCGAAATTTTGAGGTACAGTAACCTTGAAGAAGCATACTAAAAACATGTAACTAGTTGCCGTATAGATCACCGTAACCAACCTGATAACTCTGTTATCCTTCCGCCTCAAAATCATGAATATTTAACAAACCTGGCAGAAAATGTTAATTCAAATCTTCTTCGTCCATTCTAGACCAAAAAATGGGCATGCAAAAGAAGACAAAAAAGACAGAGAATTTTTGGGTACCAAGATTTTGAAATTTAATGGTCTGCCGCCATCAGAATTGCTGAAATTCAATAGGATTCTTCCTCTCACTTAACAAGTCATATTATAAGTCTTTAAGATAGGTTGCCAGGCAACGAAACATACGCCACAGCAGCTAAATGGTCTTTGTAGGTAATTGGGGGCCTTAACAAGACAGTTCCGTACAAAGTTCTACAAACTGAAACAACAAGTCTCAATTCTGGAAGTAACTTACAGAAATTGTTGAAATTTGACAGGCTTTTTCATTTTACTAATTTAAATAATGCATATAAATTTCATACAGATCAGACGATCACTTTTGTCATTCAAACGTTCACAACCGCCATAACTCTAGAAATTTTTGACGGAAATTACTGAAATTCAATAGACCTGTTTCACAAATTTAAATGATGCATATAAATTCAATAGGATTCTTCGTTTCACTAATTTAAATATCGGATGTTAACTTTTGGCATTAGAGCATTCACAAGGTTCAACAAAGGCCATAACTCTAAATGTAATAAACGGAAATTATTCAAATTAAATAGGCTTCTTCATCTCACTAATGTAAACAACATATATCAATTTTAAAACAACTGGATGATAACTTTTTGACGATGGACGGACAGGACGGACGGGGGCGACGGCAATATACGTCCACATTTCCATGTGGGCGTATAAAAATGTAGTCCGTAGAGTGTTCACAAGATGTTGAGTACGACTGTCGGAGGTTACGTTAAGATACACCACTCTTACGAAATGCTGGAGGCTTTATTTTATCAACTTTATAAGAAAAACAACACAACACCATTTGTAAAATTATTTTGGTATTTACTGCAAAAAGCCCTTTTATTATTTGCATTGTTCAAGAGCCATTCAAAAATATAACATTAGTATTAAAGACCTACATATCCAACATCTTGCATTAATTGTTACTCACCTACATACTGAATCTTATCACAATAGAAATGGTTTTAAATTGATCATATCTTGGGACAAATTGGGAGTTTCTTTCTCTTAATATTACATTTAAATATTATTTTAGTACAAAAATGTTTCTGTGTTAAATTGAAATAATTAATTTAGCAGTTTAATTAGTTTAATTTAAATCTATTATTATTTATTAAGTTGGATAAAATAAATAACTTCTGTTGACTAATTCCTTAAGAAAGAGAGAGAGAGAGAGAAATGGGGTTGACACACTAGGTCATTTCAGAACAAACATATGGTTAGAGAGAGAGAGAGAGAGAAATGGGGTTTAACCTCCACTGACACAAACTAGGTCATTTCGGTACTCACATATGGTTTAATTTTATTTCAATAATTTGCTTGCGCATAGGGGTCTTTAGCAGTGGGAGGAAACTGGAGGACCCGGAGAAAACCCACGAGGTTGGACAGGCGACCCTCTTCCTTGTCACCCCTCCTCCTTGTCACGTAATTAAGTTAGGTTCCCTTGAGGTAAATCCGGTTCTCTACAACAAACTGAAAATATTTTTACCTCGGCTGTTGAGAAAATATATTTTTAAGTTTAAAGGTTGCAAAATTTGAATTGTGACTACAATTTTTCACGTACGAAGAAGATCAAATATCAATATTTTCAAAAAAAGATATGTAAGTTAACAACTGATTTTATTTATATTAATTGAATATAAAAGCGAGGTCCACGATACAAATTGCACATATCTCCATTATATTGATATTTCTTTATATACACAATATATATTAAATATAATTTCTAATAAAATCTATTATTTCTTTATTAATACTGACTGCCTTTCAAAATAGTATTTCGTACATTCACGATCAAAATTTCAAATATTTTTTATCTATTAATTTTAGTCAAATCTAGAATCGAAAAGACATGTAGATTTAAATTTTTTAAAACTGTTATTTCGATAGTCTACATGTAAATATATTGTATTAAACATTGTTAATAACTAAGGCTACCCGAAAAATCTGATATGATTCCGTGGTAGGTATTTGTTTATAAATCCTGCAAATTTGGTGAAGATACCTTAATTAATCACAGAGATATGACATACCAAAGTTGTTTATACTTTTTTCCAAAAAGATATTAACATGGCAACAATTTTTTTTAAAAAAGACAGTTTTCCATTTCCTAACTACTCTTAACATTTTGAATTCAATAGCTTTAATATTAAAAACATTTTTTCGGGTAGCCTCTCCCCTTAATATCTGTATATTGTTGCCGTAATATGAAATAGAACTACATCTAGAATAGATGATAGGATACTGTTTATAATAACACAACTTTATCGATTTACTACTTCTTAGTTTATTACATGTAACTTTTCAAACTTTCAATACTCTTACAGGTACCTTCATCAAGCAATCTGACCAAACAAAATTTAAGATGGAAATTTGATAATTATTATTATTACAACTGTCCATATTTGTCCCAAGTTATTTAATTTTCAAGAAAAAGAAAGAAAAAAAATGTAAATAATAAATTAAATCAATGTTATTTATACCTTTCGTCATATAATACATAAAAATAAAATCCTAGTAAATTAAACTCTCACCTTTTTTTTGTTTACGGATAATAATAAGAAGAGCTTTGTTTTAAAATTTGATAATATCACGGCTTTACCCAATTCATGTAATTTACCACTAACTAAGAAGAGCTCTTTTTCAAAATGCCATAAACATCATTCGAACTGATTCTTTCACAAAATATTTTTTTTATATATCTTACGCCTACCTCATACCACTTAAGCAACTTAATCAAAAGCACGAAGGCAATATTAGTTTAAAAATCACTGATGTAGTCCACGTTAATAACTTGTAGTTGGTAATTACAAAGAAAACTAGTTTTTTTCCTTAAAATCATGCATTTATTATAACGTAATGAAAAAGGCTCTTAATAAGTTCAACAGTTTAAAACAAAACAATTAATACATGTCTGCCAGGCACTCAAACCAATATTCGTGAATACAGGGGCAGGTTAATATAATTTTGTAACATTACAATAACCCATACATCTTTTCTCATATACTGAAGATGTTTTGAAAATAGGAATTTAAAACTGTGCATTGGGCCTTGACCATTTATTCACAAAACTTAAATTATCACAAATTTTGATTATAATCAGCAATTGCGAGTTGTCACATCCAAGATTTTTTTACCCCGATTTCAAGCTGTAGTAAGGATTTAGAGATTTGATTGTTTGTGAATTATGGCCCTGAAGCCTGACCATCTGCATTTAATGGCAATTGGATTGCTGAATGTAATACATCCACACCAAAATCACAAAACAAACCCCAAATGTAGATGGAAATTACCTCCCTTTTTTCAATATGGCGAGGTACATGTACAACAGAACATCCTGGAGGAGAGGATTAGCATTTAACATCCACTCAACCCGAACTAGTCACCGGAAGATCTAAATAAAACACACAAGGTTGAGCAGGCGACCCTTCTGCGTGTCTCATTCAAGACTGGGTTAGACTACAATACTCAACTCAATGACGGGCATAATGATCTCAAGTGTAGCCTACTGCTCACCCTCTCGGGTTAGGTGTGTAAATACATAATTCTCCTACATTTGTATATGTTCTCTTAACACTTCTATTTCTACCGAAACAGGTGCCACCTCTTTCTACTAAAGACCTCTCGTTTATTTGGTAATAAGAAATAGCTGTATATCTTTGTTATAGTTGTGTATATGTATATTTGCTGGTTTGAATGAATGCCTGGCAGCATGATTAAGATGGAAGATAAGAGTATGAACAAAATGAAACGTAAAAAAAAATGATTTAAATAATCAGAATTTTTGTTATGGTGGATCTAGAATAAAATATTTCCATGCAGCAACCATTGGATTCTGCTAACATGGAATTTCTTTCTTTAAAACTTTCTGTCAGCCAAATTAGATATATCAAGTTCTTTGTCCAAACATCCAAACATACATAGGTGGAAGTCATGGTTATAGTAGTCTAAATTCAGAAATTCAAGTGTTAAGACTTCAATTTGACATACATTGTATGGAATTAACAAATATTTTAAGAATACTATGATTTCACGGTTTAAGAATTGAATTCCATGATAGGATGTTTAGTTAAACTCAGCGAACGAAAACACACTATTCTTACACTAATCTCAAAATTTGAAAATTCAGCAGTAGACTGTGTAAACCAGGACTTCTACCTATCATTGCCGGATTACTATCCTCCATCTTTCAGACTTAATCATTTAAATATTAAATCTGTTGGAAAACAAAACTATATAAATAAATAACGTAAATCTTTATACATGTTCATGTTCTTGTTCTTTTCGCATACGTCCGTACAACTATCGTTACATATTACTATCATCTATATTACATCTAAATAATATATATTATACAAACCAGGCTTTTTGCATTCATGAATCATTTTATATTAATATCATATTTTTAAAGCAACAAAATTGAAACAATAAATTCAAATTCGAACTTTTTAGACACAGTTAATACTGTCGACAACCATATCTTTAACGTGAAAACAAAAAGGCAAACATCAGAAAATTATTGCAATTCGACAAACTATTTCTCAAATTAAAGAATAATTTTTGTCTTTTTTTTTTTTTACAAACTTGTAAATCATCCCAATTATTTGAAGCATGTAATGTGAGCAAATGTTAAATATAGGGATATTACAAGGGGGATAATACATGTGCGTTGTTGTATAAAACAAGGGGAGATAATTACAGATATTTTAATACAAAATCGGCACATGCTTTCAAGTTATCGCTCAATAGTCTATGTGTCTATTATAATAAATAGAAGCTTGCTTTTATAAACTATAACCTTAATTCTCATCACTTGATTTGTCTTCATTCACCAGATGCTAAAATCTCACATTTAAGTGTTCGAATAGCAAAACTTTCTTAACAACATCCACAAAGAATTTTATGTACAATCACTTGGATCTTCTTATTTACAAAGCAAAGAGACTAACTTTTTTTAAAATTCTCTGCAGAAAGACCTCCCTTCAAACTATAATCCTTTCTCATAGGATTCACATGACACAAGCCAAAACCATTACAACTGCAACCACCATTTCTAAACTGGGAACACAATTTCATTCACTATGTGCACACATGAAAAGCACATTTTTTGTCAGTGTCTACAGAGGGAAGACAAGCAAAAAAAAAAAAGAAAAAAGAATTTGGTTGTTTGTCAAATAATCAAAGGCCTTCAATTTAGATATTTCTTCTCCCTTCAACAATAACCGTAATTAGCTATCTACTATATATAATAATATTTTATATATATGTATATATACTTGTTTATGTAATCTTCCATATGTCACAATTAAATACATATAGTTTAATTGGTTCCAAATATTCACAGCGATAATTATTTTATATTGTATATCATGTCCGTATTTTTTTCTGTTTGTATTGTAGAATCTATTCCTATATGACGTAATACTGGATATTGGCACCAATTCTCTTCCAAGACACAGACACCAGGCGTACTTTCATTCATACAAAACCCAAGAAAAAAAGCATAGCGAAAATATTTGATAAGTTTGAAAGACGAGGAAGAGTCTATTCTTTTCCTTGATTATTAATATTATTACTGTGTGGCACCACGCCACTACCACTATTAATGCTCTGCGAAGGAATATTTGACTGTAAGGCGGTAACAGGTATCTTGCTAGCACTTATTCCTTGAGGAACTCCAAGGGGAATACCCTGTGATAATCCCGGTTGTGACATAATTTTGGGGATTCCCTGTTGCTGGTTCATAGCTTGAGGAATACTTTGCTGTTGGGGCATCTGTTGTGGCATTCCTTGGGGCATTCCTTGCTGGACCATTCCTTGTTGCGGCATGTTCATTCTGGAGGGGGTAGCGTAAGGATAATATGGATTTGGTGTACTGGTGCCAGAAGCTGGAAAGCTGGAGTACTGATTATATGGAAACATAGGTTGAAACATGGATTGCAGGAGCTGTTGTTGCCGGAATTGATCTGGAATGAAGTTTTGGCTCATATTTGTTAAATCTACACTGGACTTCCTACTAGGAACTTGTCGTTCTGGTATATTCCTATCAATATTGTTCATATTTAAACTATCACTTTGTTTAATAGTATTATTACCACTAGCTACAGCTGTATTACTATCACTAGACACTACAGATTTCGAGTCCCAACCAGACTTCTCCATCTCTTGTTTCAGTTCATTTAAACTCTTTTTAGAATCTTGTTTCGGAGGTGCTTTTGCCGGCAACGAAAGATCAGTGTATTTGAAGAAGTCTTCGGAGAATGTTTTGCCTTGCTTGTCGATCGACTTTCTTCGTTGATTTGCTGGCATGGTAGTCATAACGACGGGAGATATGGGTATACCCCCAACTCCTAGTATCGGACTGATTGAAGCTGATGATACTGTACTGCCAGTAGTGATAGGTGTCATCAAACAAGCCATTGATAAACCCTTCTTCTGAAGAAATTCTGCCATCTCTTTTTGTTGCATACACTGAAATTGATTTCTCTCTTTCTGGTGTCTGAAATTTACAAAAAAACAGAATTATTTTACAAACGAAAATCTGACGGTAGGTTTGATTGAATTTCAAGAGAAATAACAATCTGGTAGACCGCCATTTCAATTAATCTTAAGGGTGCATTATGTAATATTTAGATAGAGCTGGCCATTCTTACTATAAAAGTTTAAAAATAAATAATGAAAAATAAATATATTGAAAATTTCATTCAAATTGATTCTGGGTGAATTTATCACTGTTTGAAGCTTTGACAAGATGTGGCATAGATTGTTTATTATCTTAACAATGGTACTTGTTATTGGAGACTTAGCCATGCGTTGCCATTTTTAAATTAAATCATTAAATGGCAACCATGTTTTAATCCGTTTAAATCTCTGCAATGAGTTAGAAAGTTGATTATCAAATGAATAAATCTCTAAATAATAAATTTTATATAACATTTGAAGCCAAAGTCCAAAATAAAGACCTGCAATAGGCTGATTTACATAATGCATCTTAAACTAAACAAATAAGGGTAGTATTCTTACAAGCAGACCTGGAAATACTTTTGTGTCGGACAAGTATTAAAAATATCAATAAAAACACAGTAAAAAGATGAGGCTGTTCCCAACATAATGACAGGCACCAAAGAATTGTGCCCGACAAAGCCTGAATACATGTATGTGCCTGACAATGTCTGCAACAGGTGTCTTATTCCCAAACTTGTTCACAAATGACAACTGAATTTTCTTAATCAAAATGGGTGCTGTTGATATCTACATGTATGTGTAAAAATTCAATGGAAAACAAATATATTTCAAGAGTTTAAGATCTTTTAAATCTACACCATATACTATGTTCACAGTCCAGTGTAAGCAGTAGCGATCAATAATTTCTCTTCTAAATAAATAATGTCAATTAATAACATACAGTATTAATAACATATTATCATAATAAAAACAAAAATAATGTGTTACTTCATAAACATGTAAAAATAAAAACTTGAGTTACAGGGCAATTACTAAATTGAAATAAAGTTCATAAAAAATTTTAGTTAGCAAAAAAACTTATTTAGAATTCCTTAATAAATCTTGTTAAAATTACACTATTTTTTATACATTTTTTTTTAATATTGTATAGATGAAATAGATAATTGCTAGCAGATATAAAAATAAGCAGAACAAAAGATTTCAATAGCAAAAGTTTCAGCCTTTTTTATAAATGTTGGCATAACTATTTGGCATAGGATACAGTTTTTTTAAGGGGAAAAAGCTCATTCAAATTCAAGCATAAATACAAAGTTATTAATCATATATATAAATTTACAATGCTGTTTACAAGAAAAGACTTTTCCTACCTCAAACATAATTCTTTATATTCAATATCTTCTTCTAATTTATAAATTTTCTTCTTCTCCTCACTACTAGGTGATTCTTCTTCTATTTTCTATAAAATTGTTCAGTAATAAAGTTTAAACATATATTCTACTATCTATATCAAAACAAGATGTCATTTGAGGGTAAAACACAAAGGGTATTGTTTATTTTCAGATTGGTTAGAAAGGACATCAGCCTGGTTTGCAGGGACATCAGGTTAGTTGGTAGGTCATTTACATATGAAAAATTCATTTATGAGTAGTCTGGGTTACGGGTGTGTTAGGGATACAGATTCATAACCATGTGAAGTTGTGGACCAGCTTTTCATGCCTTCGGCAGTAGAAAAGCACAGCGTTTCTGCATGCTATTTTTTTTTTTATTCCATGTGTATAGAAAAACCACTGAAATGTTTGGGGAATCCCATGTATATGATGTTATAAGTATGAGTATTTCTTTTTACAGCATTGAGCCGGACATTGTTTGTTTCAGTCGCCGCCTTTTTATAAGAACACCATATCCAAAAAATCTTCAATTTGCAAGCTGAATTGCAGAAAACAAGAGCAATTGATTGACTTTGTGAAATAGAACCCGTGAATGTAAGCCAGAGATAAATATCCACATGCCCACACTTCAGGTGCAACGAAGTCACTCATTAAGCTACTTTTGTTTACTCTGTGTGCAGAATAGCTTACATGGAAACAGTCTCACTACATTTTCATTCTACCGACCTTCACGCCAATGGAAACGCGGGCCTAACTCGGTGTGCGGGAATTTCCCCATCTCCAACCAGTCTGAAAAATGACTCTATACACTCAAGTTTAATGGAGCTGCTTGTTGAGACCCAGAACCTGAACAATCTGGAATTGGGTTTGTAGTCGTGTCAACAGATGTGAGACTAACAGGTTATTTCTTAGAATGGTGTGATGTGTGGAAAGCGAGGGAGGAATTGTGAAATAAATAACGGGGTTGGACGAACACTTAAAGCAAAGAAATACTTAAAACATATTGGCAAAGGTTAAAATGTTAAGAGGGGTCTGATCACACTTTAAGGATTGACTTGAATTGGGATCGTGGTGTGCTAACATGGTTACACATTCAGCACATTAGGAGATAAACAATAAAAAGATAAAAAAAAAAAGACAAAAAATAAAACATTAAAATACATCAAAATGAAAGACGAACAAAACTGAACATATTAAAACAAATTGTTAAATTAAAATGCAAATAAGTTTTTTTAAATGTGCTGACTTCATTATAATTCTTCATCGATATTATTACGCTTAGCCTGATTATGCATAATACTTGTATATTTACCTCTTGCCGTATTAAAGGTGTTCGCAGTTGGGGTGATTTCTTAACCACCGCTGGGGAGGTTTGCGTTGAAGAGTCAACTGAGTCAGCAGGCATGAGCCGGTCACCTGGGGATCTCATAGAGCCCCTCCTATTACGGAGGTGGGATGGGAGAATATCATGGGAGCCATCACCAATGTCAGAAGAAGAGTATATAAAAGAAGGGAGGCATGCAAGAGAGACAGAACGTTTGGTCTTACGAGCGGGAATACTAGCATCTATATCAAAAGAAGCTGCTCTATGCATTTGCAAAGTAAGGCCTTCTTTTTTGCCTAAGGTAGAGGAACTTGTGGGAACTTGTCTATAAAGGCGTTCTAGCAATCTACTTATACTTGCAGCTCGAGTAAATTCTAAAGAAGATTGTGATTTTTGTTTGTTAGTAAATTGGGCTGGTGAACTTGCCTTGTCCACCAATGTGTTAGTTTCTGAATCCACCACCTGAGAGTTTTCAATCACTGGAGACTCTTCAATAGATCTGTTGGACACATCATCTTTAATGGTTGTGACTTTAAATCTTCCCTTCTGGGAAGTTTCTTTGGCATGTCCAGTACCAGGTACTTCATCAGGGGAGCTGTCCACCTCATCTGATCCTTGCTGTTCTGGGTTTTCTTTTACAGTTTCTACAGTAAACCTGGACTTCTTAACAGACTGTTCTGTCTGTGTCTGAGTACTTGAAGGCTCTGCTTTTGTTGTCTGATCACCCTTTTCAACCTCAGTGGGTTCTGAAAGAGTTTCAGTTGAAATCTGGGTAGTTGGAAGCATGCTGGCAGAAAAGTTTGGAGACGAGTGTGTTGTACCACTTGATGGCATACTACGATGTCCATGTAAACTCATAATAATAGCTTGCTCTAATCCAGCCAAACCAGCATTTCCCATATTTGCTTTTTTTCCATCTTGACTGGAATATTGACTGTGAGCCTGGTTGAGAGCATCAGAAGACCCTTCCTCCCTTAATATTCGCCTTGATTGAGATGGTGATCTTGGTGGAGAGCCTCCATTGCTTCCACTGGCTTCTCCCTGTATATGAGGTGGCTGTGATTGGTTCATGTATTGTGGATACATGGGCATCTGACCCTGAGGGAACATATAGTTAGGAAACATGAACTGAGGGGGCATCGCAAACTGGGGATTTTGTTGTTGCTGTTGTTGTAGTTGCTGAAGATACTGAAACTGTTGCTGTTGATACGTCATCATCATTTCTGGTGGAACAAACTGTGGATAATACATTCCTTGTCCTTGAGGATATTGATAACCAAACATGGGTTGCTGTCCTGCATATTGAGAAATTTGTGCTGTTGAGGGAGGGTTCATTTTCTGATGGCCTGGTTGCCAAGATGTCTGACTTGTTTGTGGAAGAGACTGGTTAACATCTTGGGGAATTTGCGGTTGTTGTCCATGCTGTGGGCTCTGAGATCCAGGAATTTGTAGGTTACCAGCTAAATATGATACTTGAGATGGTAGGTTTGGTTGTTGTTGATCCTGGACCATCTGTTGCTGTTCTGGATATGGTGTTTGAGGAAAATCTCCAGGAGTAACTGCAGTTGATTGGTTTCCAGCAGCTAGCTTTTGAGACGATGAAATCTGGCTGAGCTTTTCTTTTAAATCAGTCAAGTCTATTGGCACATTTGGTGGATAGGTTGTACTCTTCCAAGAAACATCTGATTCAGTGGGTAGGGAAGAATCTGGGAGAGCCGTTCCACTAACCACAGGTGTTGACTGGTATGGCTGATTTTCTGGAGTTGTGGCTGTTGCTTCTTCTACATCATCTTCAGATATTTTAGATTCTACTGGTAAACTATCATTTACTCGACTAACGAAAAATTTCTTGCGATTACTAATTATGACTGTTGAGTCACTTTTATTGGTGTCTGTAACATGATGATTTGGATCAGTCTTCTCAGATCCTTCCTTAGTGGTAGATTCAGCTTCATCAAAGTTTAATTTCTGAAATAATAATAAAAAAGATTCTTGTAATTGTGGGATGTTATTTTTAGCACAGTTACAAAATAAGAAACGGTTAAAAGTCCAACACTAAAACTATCAAACTACAATTTCTAAGCAGTCAAGCATATGCATACTGTATGTTAGTTGTACTGACCCTAGCTTTTTCACCACCACATTTCATACCCCATCTCTGCACCATAAAATCATTATATTCAATATTCCCTTTCTCGTGAAATTCAAGTTTTTGTGTTTGAGACAATTGATCTGGGGATCCTTTACGCAATTTTGAAAAAAAATCACTCACGTTATTGTCGTGATCTGATAATGTTACATTCAGAAATACAAGATTAACAATCAATTATTATAAAAGTGATGCTTTATCATTATGTTTCAGTATATCTAAATAATCGAGGAAGTTATATAAATGATATTCACCTTGGCGGAATCCGTGTCAGATTGAATACGTGTACGTCTGATGGTACAGGGACTAGAAGAAGGTGTTATATTAGCTGTAACGCAATAATTTACAGCCGTTTCCGGATTCTCTTCCACCATATGTATAACTTCCATTAACAAACCAATAATAGCTGGTGTCTGAGCTTTAGTCAACAGATCATTGTCAACCTACAATACAAAACTTGTTTTTCAGTGTCAGCACATTTTTATTCCCCATACCAGTATATATTCCTTGACAGAGTATGGGAGTTGAGGGAATGATGACAAAATAACGTCAGAATGTCATGTCTCAATATTAAGCTTGTGTGAACTGCTATTCAGAAATTAAATGTTTTTTAAAAAAAATATTCAGCAAGGTTCGGTTTCGAATACTGAAACGTTTATACTGTCACTAACGAAAAGGAAATATAGCGTGACATTCAAAATTTATTACTTTTTCATAATCTTTATAATAAATTTTCCTCAAGGTTCAGTCTGGAATACTCCAAACGTTAGATTGTTTCTGACGAAGAGAAAACATATTGGGATATTTAAACTTTATTACTTATTTATTAACTATAGTACACTGTAGAAAATAGAAATTTACCAGATTTTGGGCAATTTCATCAGGCTTGTCATTCTCTAAGGCAAACTTAAAAGTCAAAATTGTTCGATTAGACAATTCTAATTCACATTCAATTTCTTCTTTATCAAGTGAAAGAACTTTTAATCTTGGCATCTTCTCTGCAGTCTTTCTACGTTTATTCCTAGATTTTCTTTTGGATTTATCCAAAGCTGTTCCTCCAGCCGAGTCAGTTTCACTGAATAAATATAATGTTTATGATAAAATAATAATATTATATGCACAGTAGATTCAATGAAGGTTATAATATATTTCATAGAACAATAAGATAATTTGGGTAAGGAGCAGAATATATATGTAAATATATCCATAGTATAAAAAGGTTAATAAACAAATTAAAAAAAATAAAATTTTATAATTTTTATGAAACAAGTAGAAACTTTCTGTAAAATAATACATATCAGTATTAAAGCCTCAACTATATATTAAATATCTGTTTTTCATACATTTAGTATAAAGTGATTAAATGCCCAGATAATCACAAATCATTTAAACAAACAATTTTCTCAGTCTTGGGTCATAAATTACCTGTCACGTGAATTAGCTGGTTCTTCTTGAATACAACTAACAGATTGACTTGAACTGATTGATGGCATTGTTGTAGGAGCTGTACCAGACACTAGCGAAGTCGTTCCACCTGTGACGTGTGATCCGCCTGCTTGTAGTATATGATTCTGATGTTGCTGGGCAGCACTGATATCTAGATGACTGAGGTTACTTGCCTGCAAATATAAACACACTTATGTTAAACATTAATGACATAACAAGTACTCTCTCAACAACAATCTGTTTGACACTATTTACAATGGCTTCAGGTTAAATATTAGTAGATGTGCAAAAGTGTTTAATCTTTTTATTATTAGGCTTTAAGTTAACTCTATTTATTAGTATTTAATCTACAAGCAATGATAATTTAAATCAGGTTTTTCAAAATCTCAGAAGTGATACTATTCAGGTCAGCGGTGTTTATAAATCGTAGTATAATTGGATTACAAAGCTTTATCAGTTCATATTGCAAATTCTTTAGTAACTAAAAGACCAATGTCATAGTGGACCTTTCACATGTTTACTCTACATATTTGGAATCATGACATAAAACTTACAAGATAACACTAACAGTATCACGAGCAAAAAATTATTGTCTCGGGAATAGATTTGATTCATGACAGATTCAAAGTTTAAATAAATATGGTACACATACCTACTTGTGTAACAATATTTTCGCATACATGAACACGAATTATGTGCAAATTTGAGTAACCAATTGATATTAACTGCTGAATAGCTTGAACATTACGTTTGACTGATACTTATGTTCTACATATATGTCAAAGGGAAATGGTCCAGCATGACTATGACTTTTTTTAAAAAAAACAAAAAAACTTTTCAGCTCAAATAATGTAAACAATGAATGACATGCTTTCAAACTTATGAAATAAATAAAATGGCAATAACACATAAATTAATGTATGTACATGTTGATTTATACAAATACACTGTTTATGCAGGAAATGATACATTTTTTTGAAGGGGAGGGAATGGTTTAGACTGGATCTTAAATAATATGAGATGTTTGTTATATTTGATGAGGGGGTATATTTAGGTACGTACATGTATATAAACCATGTCATATTAACAATAACTAAATACCTGTATTCAAATAAATTCAATATGATAATGATCAAACAATAAAAGTATTACTTAGTAAATGTATAATAATATGAAAACCCCATTCAATTATACCTAGTTTCATTTTAGTAATAATTTCTGTAACGCACTCAAAGAAGAAAGAAAAGCACAAAATTAGCCCAAACTCTTCTAACACAGTCACAAAATAAATAAAGCCAATCCCTGTTTCACCACAGCAATTCTATCAGTGTTGTTAGTATTCTACAGTCTCTTACTCCCACCTACTCATCTTTATTTTTCTTATGACATGTTGCTTTATACAGCTGGCCTATACATGTAGTTTTGAATGACTGGCCTATGTATGGTACATGTAGTTTTGAACAACTGGCCTATGTATGGTACAGTTTAAAACCACATGTATCTAAATATACATGTACACATATAATGCTGGAATTATCTAAAGGAATTGTGTATGTCCTAATTATTACAAAAATTGTAATGGCTGTGCTTTTCATACAAAAAAATTACTACAGATTCACTCCCAGGTATTCATTCCCACCCTATGAACTTACATGTTAAGACCCCAAAGGGTGCATTCTTCGATAAGAAACACCCTTCCTTTTCAAAAGTGCAAGAGCAGGAATGATCACTTGTATCTTAAGGCAAACCGTATTCCCCATTTCAAAAATAATATACTCCTAAAAATTTATTTCTAGAATGGTGTTACCTACAGAAAAAAAAATCCAAAGGTGCAGTGATTGATTAATAATATCAAACAGGTATAACCCAAACTATATAAATGATTTAATTACAACATTAAAACATGACACTCTACAACAATACAATTAATATCAGGTCAACAATGGTAAATTAACATGCAATAGTAGAGGAAAAAATACTAAGTTAGAGCAAAGAACCGCACGTGCATAAAAAAAAACACCCATACTGTTAAATAGATACACGATCATAGCAAAGTTCAACTAAGAGAGAGGACTGATGACAAAAACAAAGTCAAGGCTTCCGATCGTCATTTCACTTATTTGAGAGATTGTTGAAAATTATATCTCTACAAGAAATATCAGTCCATTCACGGTTCACCTCCATTCACTATTTACAATTGTATGATAAATTTGCATCATACGACATTCTTCGCAGGCAATACAAATAAGCCTGCACCTCAAATAAAAGTTGAGTAAAATCTTTTGATGGTAAATTGGTGTTCTTAATCTGATTGTATCCAAGTTGGGAGATCAGCTACCGTTAATATTTTAAAATTCTGTTTTCTTTACTAAATGTTAAATAACCAATTTGAATACATTGAGTGTGGATTAAGCAATGCATAATCAAATGTCGGAAAAAAGCAAATGACGATCAGTGACTCTAAGGGAATCGAACATCCGAGCTCTGGCCTATTAGGATAAATCACTAATGTAATAATCTTAAACCAATTTTATCTCAGTTCCATGTATAGATTGGCAGCTTTGTCTCAAATTGTGCACAGAATCCAATTTAAACAAGAACACAGACATTTTACCCATCAGCGACAATTGCCGAAGTGAGAGTGCTTCTTTCGAAAAACTCAAATTTCTTGTCATTTCATTGTGGAGATTTATCAAGAAACTGTGATGGTTTGCTATGATTGTGTATCGATTATGTTAAAAGTTGAGACTTCTACCAACTACGGGACACACCTTGGCCAACAAACGGGAACTTTTACGACTCTGGGGTGTGGTTTGATGAGATGGACTGCTGTAAACTTGATGTCTGGGTGAGTAGTTATCTCTGGTACTATAATACTGTCCCTGTTATTATTGTTAAAATGGAAGTGCTGATTTAAATTTTAATAAGGTCTCTTCAACTTAAATCATGCAATATTGTTATTATAATTTTAGGTTTCCTTATTTATTATGTTGAGTTAAATTTGATAAATGAAATCTTTGAATAGTAAAGTATGAATTGAAATATACCGAAACTTGTTAGCCAGATGAACTTTAAAAAAAAAAAAAAAAAAAAAAAATGTAAACTGGTCCCAGAGTGCTTCTTTTTTTTTTTTTAAAAGGGTAAACATACACTGTGCACCATACACAAAGTATCCAAAAGTAACAGATTCATTATCTAATTTAAATGATAAAATAGGTTTGCTCAAATTGGCACTAAGATCGTAACAGCTAATTGCAGGCAGGTATTTGAATTCAAGATTCATCAACTTCGTAAGTCAGACTGATGCAGAAAAGTAGAAGTAAACCCTATTTTATTTCATTTCAAGATTCAACTTTACTGTTCAAAGTTAGGTTCCATGGAATGATGTTAGTAAAACATATCCGTTTTTGTTATCCACTTGGCAAAAAAAGAAAATATTTCAGATTAATCAAACACACCAACAAGATGATGATTGATAATGATCCATGGTCCCAATGGTGTGTCCTCAAAATATATAGATGTTATGATAGTGTGAAAACACATAAAAATGAAAGTAAAAACAAAAATTATCACATCACATTACAAAACATACCGTACTAAACAGATTGATTGATAATCTAATCTAAACAACTTGAATTCTCAAAAAATATCTCCAGATTCTATCCATTTCTACATTTAAATATGCCAGGAGATTGATTAATAAATTACTTCTGTTGTCTATTTTTCAAAAAAATTTGGAGTGTAAATAGTCCTACACCAAGGTTGACCTTAAAAATATCTATTTTGCATAATGCGGTCGATCAATAAACCCCTTCCACCCCCACCCCCTACTTAAATTATTTTATTGCACTTTTCTGTGATCTTTTCATTTGATTTTGTGTGTTAACTTAAAATATATCACAAGAGTTATTTCCCTTGACTATGGCTTGATTCATTATTGAAACTGGTTAATCACGACGAAAGTGTCACTTGACGCTTCTCAACAAAATGGTATCGGACGATAGCTTTCCCATTCCCATGAATTAATTCTGCCTCAATGACTGTGGGGTGTCATTTTAATAATGATATTTTCAATATCAATTTTCAAGTAAAATGAAGGCACAACCTGCCTGATCGTAAAAAACATGTCGAAGAAATTCACAGTTCAAGTTCGTCGCTCATGAATGTTACCACCTGGTAAAGGATCAAGCTGTCAAATTAGCTCTTCGAATTTGAAACCCCCTCACCTCAATTAAATCACCGACCCTTCTTGATTGTGGGTAGGGTTTGGTGAAACAAAGATATTTTTAAGGTCAGCCCAATGGCACATTGTGTGAGCATGATAAAATTCATTATGGAAAGTTTCTAATTTCTGAGAATACAAGTGCATGTTTTGATTTGTATATGAAGCAGAATAGACTATTTCAAGTACGTAGAGAAAACAGAACAATAAGACAGTCCCCAACAAACTCTGATACAATTCTCTGTATCATTTTATATTGGAGGTAATGATAACTGAATCCAAATTGATGAGATATTCAGAATTTTAATGACAAGATTCATTGCAGAAAGGTAAGATTATCTGATATTCTACATGTAAACTCCATGCAGATCATCTCAATATCACCATGTGGATATAAGTCGTATTTTCACCTACATTCAAACTATCACATGATCTTTTAGATGTTCTGGCAATGTGAACAAGGCACCCACCTCCACCAAAAAACCTTTGAACTGTGTTCATGTGGATTCTAACTAACTTCACCCGAGAGCATAGTAATTGGAGAGAAGCTTTTAACTGTCTTCAAGTGTTTGATTCTAAATACTTAACATCACAAGGGAGCAAAGCAAATAGAAAACGTACAAAAACTTGAGAACAAGGATAATATTGAGAATCATCACAACATCTATTAATTTGATTCTTATTGGGCCAATCTATAATTTTTAAACATTCTATACCATGGAGGACCAATGCAGTTGATTTTAAGAAAATCCTTCTGACCTTTGTGCTCTATCTCAAGTTTTGAATAATAAACATTACAGCATATTTAATCAGACATACAATATCTACCAATTAAAATATGTCTCTCGATATTTTTCCAAAAATAATTCCAATATCACAATGTTAGGAAATAAGGGACCTGTCACAGACAATGTCAGGAACAATTTGTGTCTTGCACAATGTTCAAACTGTCTGGTAGTAGTTCAGTGATGCCGGACAACATCTAAATTCATTAGCCCTGAATATCTCAGTATTGTTTTCTTGTTATCATTAACAGATTATAAAGCTATCTATATAAATATACATGTATGGTAACTGACCTGTGTTGTTAGTACATTGGGTACTGATTGACCTGTATTTACACCTGATGCTTCACTTGACTGGGATACCTGTTTAATAATTAACACATGTTGAAAAATACTCAAAAAAGAAAACAACATGATCATGACTATAAAGAACTCTCTGCATTCAACATAGAAGCTAAATGAATAAAGAGGCCATCATAGATTTTAAAATCTACCTGCAACTGACAATTAAGTGCATTGAAAAAAACAATGTGGGTATATTTAAAAAATCATAAAGTTTACATATCTATTGTATGATCTATTAAATAAAATAATAAAATTCAGGCAATTCAATTACAAGTGACTAACACATGGAGAATGCAATTCATCCCTTGCATAAAAAAATACCATAGCAAGTTTAGAAGAAAAGAGACAGAAGTATGATTTTATTAACGGATGACCCTGAGCTGCTCACATAAACTACCTTTTAAGGGAGTCCGTCAAGGTGAGTCGATTAAGGTGAAAAAATGTTTACCTGTGTCTGAATAACAGTTATCTGTTCTTTATGATCAGTTAAAACTTCAATACCTTTCATACCTGTATTATACAATTATTGGTTTATTATAGACATACACAAAGTAATAAATTAAATCACACCTGGATACACTAGTACCATACCATACAAATTAATTGGGAGATTCGGCAGTAACTACTGTAGTGCTCTAGTAGTGGATTACGTCCCTCGTTTCAGATTTTGATCAATAAATCGTCTTGTATCTAGAATTTGTTTTGTATTTCATGTACAGGTTTTCCCCAATTTAGTGGCCCTTGTACTTCAGTGCATAAAATTTTTTGCTTCATAAGGCAACACAAATAAAATAAGTTGTTTCTCGGGCACCGCCCACACGCAAAATTGGTTGCACGTGCGGCCTATTTATTAGTCTTGATGAAAAATAAAAAATATGTAACGCCCGCCCGAACATCGATAAGCAAGTCATAAAAAATATATGCCGCATGTATCTACATGCCCCATACGTGAATATCCATTCAAATGTATTAAACTGATTCAGATGTAAACGCTCATTTACGGGTCTTTTTTTATTGATATCGAAAGAACTCCATTTTTGTATCACGTGATTTTAATTACCTCCCCTTGTGAACTAGAATTTGATTCGTGTTAAACACCGAAAGTCATTGACAACAATGCAATGTATTTCAATCATTCGATCTTAATCGGCTCATTATTGCCGGCTTCAGTCGGTCCATGTTTGAAAAAATCCTACTTATAAAACAATGAATCGTAGAACAGGTTAATTATTATAACTTGTGGCTACGAATACGATACGATGATAGTCACCATACCTTAGTCAGAATCTGGGTCATTAGCACATTTAACGGTAGTTTTGATAATCCGGAAAATAATTATTGGATTACACATTTGATGGTTTTACTGACGAGTTGTTAGTTAAATTTAAATAGTCATTCGATATAAACCCCAGATAGAACACCGAATATCCTGAGAAACACACCGAATAACCTGAGAAACAGTCATTTCCCGAATCCCGATGACACGTGACATGCATTGGTTGGAATTAGGTCAATCATTATAAACCAGCGATACTAGATTTAGATCGAAGTGTCGTTCATCGTGATGATTATTTTTGATACACATGCTGTCAGAGGCTTACTCTTTAAAATATTGTCGTTATTATGGACGGCTATTAATAGTCGTACGGAATTTTATTTTAAACCAATTTCAATTATGGTTGTCACCATTACCATTAGTAAGCTAGTACAATACGTGAATTAAATATGGAAAATTATTTTCCTTTTAATCAGTGTTCAGTGTTTGAGTTGACTTGATTTTGGGGTTTATGTTCTAAGTATGTTTAATATATAACTGAAAGCAAAACCGTAGACAAGTAATGACTTTCTAATTAAAAAAAAAAAAAAAAAAAAAATACAAGGCCGCCCTCCCGCCCCAACAATTTTCAACAATAGCCAAATTTTATTTTGCACCATCCTCTAGCCAGAAATGAGGTAAAAAAAAAAAATAAACCGCCCTCCCCCCCTACAGTTTCAGCTGTCAGTTGCCCGAGAAACAAGACATTTATTTTGTGTAGCCTAAACTTATTATCAGGGCTGCCGACAACCAGTATCGCAGCGCAATTTGCGATACATATTTTGTCCGTTGCTAACCAAAAATTAAAATCTAACGTTTTTGATTCGCAGTTACTGCGAATCATTAATATGCCTGTCCTTTTGGATATTGACACAAGAATAATCCACATTTTTAAGACTAGAAGGCTTACTCAACACTTTCAACGTGTATAAAATGTTGAATAAAATTTTATAAACAAAACTGAATTCTCCGTGTGACATTTTCTTCTCGAACTGCCCAGACACAATACTATATAACACAGGGACATAACTCTATGAATAGGGTCTATTAAACCGGAAATAGGGAATCAAGTAGTACCACTCACGTTGTGAGACATCAAGTAATTATATCATATTCATTTTGAAAGAAATAAATCCAGTGTATCTCCCACGTATTGTAAATAAAATATAAAAAAAATAAACACATGTTAACATATTGTAAAATGATAAATCAAAGTAAAAATTCCCGTAAAATATTATTGTTTATATCGCGTGTGTCTAGTTAATCGAGGTGCGCCCGATTGAACAAAAATAATAATACACGATAAAAAGCAGACGAAATTGTTTTCTAACGAAGATTTCTAGCGTAACAAAAAAATTACAATTAAAATGAGTGGGGCTTCGGAAGTCACTGTCAAGAATTGGCTTCAGACGTAAGACCTAACTAAATGTCTACATCACATTCACAAACTGTCACAAGTACTTGTGGCAGTGCTAAAAAATCTAAGAATAGTCAGAATGGAATCTTATCATATTTCAATTCGTTATGAATTAAAGTAATATCTTGTTATTTAGGTGTTTTACGTTGAAACTGAAAAACTGCTAATCAAATTTTAAATTTGCTAATCAAATTTGGCAAAATTGGACTTTTTGATTAGCAGTGCTGCTAATCAACTGTGAAAAATTACCGACAGCCCTGCTTATTATTTGTGTATGTTAACAAATTAACTTTTGGTCAAATTGTTGTTAGACTGAGCTGAAAGTGCCATCTATTGTCCTTTTAAATTCCAATTACTGCTATAAAATATAGTACAATTATCTTCATTTGACCCCCTTTTATGATCTTGAACAAGCTGAACAATACCGGACTCCTGTATTCCTTGCGTTGGGCTGTGTTCAGAAATAATCTAAGTGTAGACATACCTTGATTATCAGTTACGGTGTTAGCTTGTGAATGTTGTATAACTGATATAGATGATGATCTCTGCTGACGGTTCACGGGTGCTAATGTCTGACCTGTTCCAGGGACATGGATCATACTCTGATGTTGACCTCCACCAGCTTCCGCTACAAATTCATTCGAGGTAAAATAATCCCCTCCCTGTACCTGTAGGCTTGTATTAGCAACTGAATTCGGTGTCGGGGCCACGTTACCTTGCCCCTGCTGTAACTGTTGATTGGTACCCGATTCTGATGTATTCGGAAAAGGTGGAGTCGAACTCTTGCTGTACTGGTTTATATTAAGGGCTGTTTGAGAATTAAAAGCTACAGGTTGCTGTGACGAGTGACTACTAGGAACTAACTGAGAGTGACTGGAAGAAGACTGGGTATCAGACTGATTACCATCCGTTATTTTATTTTGGCTCTCATTTAATCTACGCTCTCGTTCTCTCTTTATGTGGACAACACGATCTTTGATCTGTTTACTCGCTATTCTACCATCTTCTTCTAATAAAAATGCAGACTTAACCTGAAAAATAGATGTTAAAATCATTCAAAACTGATGTATGAAAATTCAAAACCCTATTGTTCATCTATTTTCAGAATGTCAATGATATTATGATCTTTATCAAGTAACTATGGTATTCAAGTCTAAAGACTCAATTACTGTAATAAATATCATTACATATACATACAGATTCCATATCTAACATGTCAACTAAAAAGCCTAGACGCATAAACTTAAACAAAGCTATTAATAGCTTAATATTGCTATATCAGAATCGTAGCATTAACTGTAGTTGACAACAAATATGATCAAATATTCATAAGATTATGAAACTTTACACTCCCCCAACAACAGCAAGGAAATAATTTCACTGAGATTAGGACAATTCATGGGTCACAAATTATCTTCCTTTATATAAACAGGACATAATTCTTGAGCCACGTTTCCACTTGGCTTCTTAAGTCTTTATCAAGCAATGGATATGAAACCGATTCTGTTCCAAAAACAGCAAGGAAATATTTTCAATGAAATAATGACAATAGATGAGAGAAACCACAAATTAAATGTCCAATCACAAATTACTATCTGTTATATACGTAAGTATCCTGTTTCCAAAGTGAGACCCACAGTGGCTCGGTGAGAAAGGCACTGGCTCCCTAACCATGTGATGCCTGGATTGATCATGGTGCTAGCCAAGAAAATCCTTCAGGTTTTTCCTGGGCAGTGGTGCAGGACACAGAGAGAGAGAAATGGGGTTTAACGTCCACTCAACACAAACTAGGTCATTTTGGGACTAACATATGGTTCAATTTTATTTCAATAATTAGCTTGCGGATAGGGGTCTTTAGCAGTGGGAGGAAACCGGAGGACCTGGAGAAAACCCATGAGGTTGGACAGGCAACCCACCTCCTTGTCACGTACAACTGGGGAATCGAAACCACACCAGTTGACTCAATGACAGACCTTATGATACAGCGCGCACATGGTAACCATTCGGCCATCCAACCCCCCAAAACGAAAAAATGTGATCAATCCTGTGTTAGATAATAAATTAATATCATACCATCTCTTGAGCGACTTCTTCTGCAACATCTTTGTCCATATCAAAATCAAACTGTATAGCTTCATTTTCTTTATGTTTGTTTTTACGTTTGGTAGGATCAACAACACGTAACCTCAGTTGAATAATACTACTATTATTTGTCTCGTCCTCTTTATTCACAAGTTCAACCTTTAACCCTGTATCTTCTAGGAAGAAATCATGTTGTAATAACTGTTTTACACAGTACCTGACAATATAAAATAATAATAAAAAACAATAAATTGAAATAATAAAAAAACATTAAATTGAAATTCATAAATTGTAACTAAAATTCAACATACCCTTTGATTCAGTAGAAATTCAACAGAGATTTCAAATCACAATCTTTTTTAATAAACAGTTATCACAAAATGGATAACACTAGTCATTAATATCATATGTTAAAATTCGTCGGTATTTTTGTACAATAATTCCTCACCAATAAACAATTCGAATATTTAATGACAATTCAAACAAAATCCAAAGTCTTAAAACAAGACCGTACCTGTTCTTTTATGCTGGTGACATAAGAGTTAATCTGAAACGGGCGGAAAACGTAATTCTTTCCTTACTTTCAAAGTTACATGTACTCTTAATCACAATTCTAAGTATGTCACAATAAACTAGCTTGAAAACATACAAAATCTATTTTCAAAAAAGTTTTATACATTATTCAAATCCTTTCACACCCAGCTGAGCCGTTTCAAAAGAGCAACATGAATCATTCAGTAATTTGTACTTCAAATTTGAAAATTTCGTACACACACATATGCAAATAATTAATTGACATATTGTTCTGTTGTAAAACTTGTTTATCTACTGTACCTTTCATTCCTGTTTGGTGTAATACAACCCTCTATGATATCTCTAATTTCGGGATCTAGAACTTTATCACAGGCCTCTGGTCTGACACCCTGTATAAAAGACAACAACAATAAGATTTAGGAAGGAATTTCTATCAATAGTATCAATAAATAACCAGCATTGAATATATTATTTTCTCAATGAATGCATCCATTGTTATACGCCATACTAGTTTTCAATAAAAATCACAGCATAACACTATTGCTGTCAGTTATAACTTACTCAGTCCGTCAGTTATAATTTATTACTTTCAACAGGATATACACGTAATATACTCTATACTATATAATGTTACCACAGCAGGTTAGGCATAAAATGAATAAATGGCTAAAATATACACCATTATAAGGAATACCCTCAAGGCATGTATATACCTATGACCCTATATAAAATGTACAATTTACTTTCACTAAATATTTTTCATAGTTTATGTGGGCAGGTGAAAGCACCTACAAATCGTAATCTTCATTTATTCTATCCTTATGTAAACTTAATTCTTATTTATTCTAGATTATTCACCACATTGGAGTGTTCGGAACCATAGCATACTAATGTGTGTCCCACCCCAATATAGTCCAGATCATTATGCCATTTCAACCCATGTTGTGGTATGGCAATTTCTACTGGATGACCATTACTAGATTTAGGCATTATTCTATATTTAAAGATAATATTGAAAATGAAATTTTTGATGATTCAATTCTGGTACTATTTAATTGAACTTTAAAGCATGAGTTTGCATTTCTAAATCATAACAATTATAAAAATCTGCTTTAACTTAAGACAATCAGTCAACCATCAGAGATATTAGACTGGGTGAAATTTTAATTGTTTTTTTTTTTTTGCAATTTCTAACCAATAAGACATTTTTTTCTAGGACATACATGGCCTTTCTATATCAAGATGATAATAAAATTAGCTTACTGTATGAATTAAATAAATCTGTGTATTTTTGTAGGCCTTTAAAATAGTAAATAGCAACACAAAAAGGGGGATACTTACACTGGTGACTTTACGATAAATTTGAGCAGCATTCGTACATTCTTTATATGGGTATTCAGACGTAGCCATCTCCAACATACACATTCCGAAAGCATAGACATCAACGGCTTCATCATAATGCTCTTCATACATCTCAGGAGCCATAAATTCCGGGGTACCTTAAAGTTAAAGTATAAGAGTGTCTTTGGCTGGCTGCTGTAAACGGAAAAATTGGTAAGGGAAAGATTAGATTGGGTTGTCTGCAGCCTGTGAACCCACTGCTTATTATTAAAAATATTGTAATTTCATTTTTGTTTTTCACATCGATAAAACCCTAGACTAAAACTCTACCTAACCAAAAACTTGAAGGATGAAGATGTTCAAACAGAAGTGAAATTATCCAACATTTTTCGTAATAAGCAGAAGGTTTTCGTATTTTGATGTCCTGAAAGAAAATGGTGCTTATTAGTACAAAAACAGGAACTGATTACCTGTACCCCATCATTTACCTTACCTTTTAATTAATTTTCACCTGTAATCGATTCATAGTCTCTGTTTTAACGGAACGAAAAAGTAGGGAAAAAAAAACGGAATAATAATTAGATTTCAAGTATTCAAACCTCCAGAAGTTATCACATGCGATTCCCAATTTAAATCATTTTTACACTGACAAGCTTACCAAACTTTTTTTTTTACTTAATCACTATAAAGTATGATCTAAATTAACCTTTCTGAAAATTAAGTTTTTGATACGTTCAAAGTGGTAATACGTTAACAAGTTCATTTTTCTATCTAAATATGTTATATATTTTAAATTAAGGGTTTTTGGATTTATTGTATTTTTTTTTCTTCATATTCCACTACAAACACTTCTTCAAACAAATCGCTAAGCAAGTTAGACTTACCTCCACTTGCTAATCTGAACATGACAAAGAAATGGAATTTAGTTAAGTAAACAAAACATACATCTTTGATTCATTCAAAATATGTATATATAAATATTTTAAAAAATACCATACTTTGAATAATTTTTAATACATACCTATAACACTCTTAGCAAATGATTTGTTCTTTAAAGTGGCTAGACCCAGATCACCGATCTTGACGGAACCAGTGGTTCCAGTAATAAAGATGTTATCACATTTTAAATCTCGATGTATTACTTGTGGTGTCCGGGTATGAAGAAAGCCTAATCCCTTTAATATCTGTCGACACCAGTTCTTCAGTACTTTCAGATTTATCTTACGAAATCGCTTGATGTAACTAGACAAGAATATTCAAATAATATAAATAAATAGATGTACAGTGTAGGTACGTAGATCACATTACATGTAGATGTGTTTGGAACCAAATCGAGCTGACCTGAACAGATCAAATTTAAACCTAATATTGTTTTATACATATGTACTGAAGTTCACTGAATTATGTACATTGTAGGTGTATCAGTGTGTTCAGTTATATGTAAATACTGACATCGATGAACATGTAATCAAAGTATAAAATACATTTTAAAAACCCTGTTCCGTGGTTTTCATAGATATGATATAAAGTTTAATAATAATAAACTAGAGCGTCTACATTGCAATTGTGGACAGCAGACAAGAGGCAACAACAATACTCGACCACATTTCAATGTGGGCGTATAAAAAAAATGTTTCAAAGTCGATTTTTAAAAATCTACATAGTAATATAACAAATTGCTAGACCATTATGTGTGTTACATGTACGTGTATGTAATGTACCAAGGGATATTATGGTTACAGTAAATAATTCTTGGTCACTTGATGTGTGTTGACGGCCCTTGCGTACCATTCATGACGCTATCAATACAGCTACATGTAGGTAGTGTACATACAAAATTTTAAGGACCAATGAAATCTGATATATTTTACTTACGTTTTCAGTGTACCCGAGGTCATTAATTCTGTTACAAGAATAATAACTTTTCTTCCTCTCAAGTTTGTTTCTTCCCAATAATCATAAAAACGGACAATATTTGGATGTTGGAGACCCTTCAACATCTCAGCTTCTTCCTTAAATCTTTGACGTTCACTTTTATTCCATTTCTTGTCCTGCAAAAAAAAAAAGCTAATTATTGATTTGATAACAAAAAATGTGCAGAAAAATGTAATACAACTGAAAATTGTGTCACACAGTACGTTATTTCCATTTTTTTCCAACAGGAAAATCAGTAAAATTTGGGGATGGTCGCAATGTCACAGTTGCATTGGTAAACTACATGTACATGTATCTGCAATAAATCATGACATTCTTATGTAAATAAATTTATTTAAAATCCATTTGAAAGATGTTGATGTATTATAATAAACGATGAAAGGAGAGAGAAGGGGGAGAAGAGGGTCAGAGGGATGGGGGGTGGCAGTTAATATCCACTTGACACAAATCAGGTCAATTCGGGTCTAACATACTGTACAATTTTATTTCAATAATTCGCTTGTGTGTAGGGGGTCTTTAACTGTGGGTGAAAAAAGAAAGGACCCAAGAAAACCTGTGAGTATGGTTTAATCAATAAATTTACAAGCTGTTGTATTGTCTGTCATGTCGGCTGTTTGCTTACATACATGTACATTTACAAAGTATGCTGAATAAAATGGATGTTAAAAAAAAAAATATATACAAGCTTATGTCTGACCAAAACAATTCTTTTTGTTTTTAACACACAAGCTACATTACATGTAATATAAAAGCCTTCTTTCTTTGGAAAATTTGATTGAAACTTGGATTGCCAGGCAACAAATCCTATGCCCACAGCAACCACATGTAACTCATGAGAGTTACTTTTTGAACCTTTAAATAAACAAGAAGCAATATCTTCATACTGCAAAATATCTTTGGTGTCCTAAAAAGATTCTCACATACATGTACATTGTACAGTATACCAAACAAAGGCAAAAACTGTATAAGTACATGTACATGTTCAAGGGGATACTAAAATTTGGACAAGGACAATAAATCTGGAAGTTATTATCAGAATTCTTCATCTCGCAAATGTACATGTGTGTGTACATCAATTTCCAAATGATCAGATGATAAATCATAAATGTAGTCTGTGCAGTGTTCACAAGAATTCGTGGGATGACAGTCGGACAGGGGCGACAACCATACATCTACATACATGTATGACCACATTCCAATGTGGGTGTATAAAAACATAAAGAATAAACAATATTCAATTTGAAATTTTACATTACTAATATTAGATTTTTGGTTAGCCAAATGTCAAAGTCCCCATTTTCAAAAACTAATAACTGCTCATCCTTCATGAAAATACAGAGTTATGAACCCCAAAAATATACCCGAGTTTAAATATGTACATTTAAATCTTAAAATAATAATAATAAACAAGTTCATCAGGCTATTTCATTATTATTAGTTTTTAAATAGTGTTTTATACACTTTCGCAAAAAACGATAAAATGTGTAAGGCTATAAACTTGTGGACAAAAACACACATGGTTAATAACCAATCACCAATGTTGTAATTTATTACCATGGAAACAGAGAAAGCAATGAACATGAAATGATCATTGATAAACAATTGTTAGATCTTTTAAAAATCATGGTGAAGTTTCAATCATAAGAGTTACATGTACTGTACATGTACAATGTACAAAAAAAATATGAAAAAAACTTGCGTTGAATAAACTGCATGCAGAAATTTAACTTTCAAAAATTGGGTTTTAAAAATTCTACTGGAGAAAAAACAGTTATCTTAAGTTGTAGAGGAATATTTGTGGTAGGCCTACAAATATGTGTAACTAAATGTTTATAGGATATTTTATTGAATTACAAGCCTATGATTTCAAACATTGCACATGTATCCTGTATCCTAAAGACAAGTCAGTTTTATTTTATTTCAGGTGTACATGTACATACATACTGTGTACAAATTAACTACATGTATAATAGCTGTGTTTCTGCCCTTATAAGTTACCTACTGCTAGATCTACAGGTAGTTTCCCCAGTGAGTCATAAACACAGAATTTTACATGTACGTGTAGGTCACTATCAAATCTGCTACATGTTCATGAACTTAATCTTAAAAGTCATACAGAGCACAATCTAATCTACACTACATTTACATTGACTAAATTTAGATGTACAATTAAAAGTTAAGAATGGTCTGAATAGAGAATACTTAGTTTAACAGATTTAAGCTTATTTGAGACTTCCAGGGTGATATTCTTACACAGTACATTTGTAAAAAAAGTAAAAAGTAAAGCAAAGTACATTGTGAAGCAAATTTGTTATCAGAATCAGCATGCCCTATCCTTCAGTTGTAAAACTGATTGAATAAGCTTTCTGATATCATTATCCAATTTATCCGAATAGCCTTAGAATCTAGAAGACATTCGATCGGAATATTTGTGTGATCTTGTAGGTTGTTTTTGTTCCTTCCTAACCACTTTTCCTTCCAACTTGGTTAGGTACCTGCACATCTATGTGTACATTGTACAAGTACTTGAAGTACATGTAGTTTTCAAAGGATTATATACATAAACTATACTATGGACAGTTTTAAGGGAAATACCCCTCATGTGTGTACACTACAAAATGTATGAAAATGATGTACAAAAATATTTCTATGACTATTGAAGATTTCACAATTTTTTTCTAAGTTAAAAAGTCAACAGACAAATCGCTGGGTAGAGGTGGACTACATGTAGTTCATTTAAATTAAATGTGGTTTGTGATAGAAACATAACAATTGATGAAATACTAAACATGCTTTGCATGTGGTACGATTGTCAATTATATATAAAGTATCTTGATAAAACATGCACCTAATTGGCCAAATTAATTCAATAAAATAAAACCAAAACATCTAGATGAATAATTCTAACATAAGATGAAACAAGCAATATACTGTACACTTATTTTGTCTTAAAAAGTCAATGTGCTGCTACATTATCATTAGTTACGAATGTATGGAAGCGTACATGTATGTCCAACTACCCGGTTTAAATATCATAAGCTTACAGTTTGAATGCTAATAACAAAATTTTTAACAAGATTTTTTGATGCCCACTGCCCCTGTTGTTTTTTTATTTAATTCTGGCAAATGGTAAACATTATGTCACATACAGTATGTATTTATTTACGATTGTATTTAGGTCTCTTGCTTCGAAAATATAATTGCTCCATAATTAATTAAATTAACACATCAGATTAAACACTTTTTTTACCTTCATGTACAAAGACGTTTAGTTACTAGTACTTTAAAGACCACGTAAGATCAAAAATCTAAATTGCATCTATGTATAGCCCATGGTTACTATATCAACTTTACGGCAAGTTCACACCAATCTGATTAAAATTAAGTCCGCTGTTAATGTTTAAGTATCCGACACACCAAAACGCTTTTCGATTTTTCAATTACGACCTTAATCCGGTTGATTGGCTGGTGACGTCACAGGCACTACACATAGGATATACATTATCTATACAATATCTCACTGTATTGCAATATAGCACTATCAATACACACGGCAACTGGACAAGCGTCTATTGACGGTCCAATTACCACGTGACTGGCCTAATCATAATCACCGAATTATCGTCTTTCATTGGTATAGATTAGACATTTGTGATTGGAATATTTTAGAGTGAATTTAAAATGCCGTATCATGCCGTAGATCAATTTACATGTAAGCTGCCTTTGTTTAAATAGGTCAAGTGTCAAATGAAGATGACTCAACAAATTAGCGCATTTACCGGTAATTTGGATAACCACGTAATATTTGATATCCCAAACTTAAGTACAGAAATACAAATGGTGCCAGTCATTTGTCGATATATTCATTATTCGCTATATATACTATTCAAAAAAAGTAGGGGATATTTGATTTTGGGGGCATAATACTAAAATATGCAAATGACTACGAAAAAAGTCACTATAGAACCTAACAGAAGAAACATTTCCAGTTACATTTGACGCCCAAACGCACCAATAGCTACCGCATGGAATGCAGGTGATACTTGGGATCATCATGGGGGTCCAACCCAAGATTTGCACGACTCTGACTTTGAATGTTACAGTCATTGTGGCATTGAATTCCAGGGTGGAAACATCAGTTTAATTGTTTTAGTGACCAGAAAACAAATTTTGATATGCGTCGGCTTACCCAAAATGAAAGGTTACGTGCCCTTGGCATGCTACAGATCGGCACAACACAGATGGTTGTGGCGCGGACGATGAATGTTTCTCAGTCTGTCATAAGCAGGCTATGGTCCAGATACCGTGATACACAATCTGTACAGGACAGACCACGCTCAGGTCGACCAAGGCGACAACTCAAGCCCAGGATCGATTTATCCATACCTTGGCCTTGAGAAATCGTGTCATCACAACAAATCAGATCAGCGCTCGTCTTCAAACAGACACTGGTGTGAGAGTGAGTGGCCAGACGATTCGGAATCGACTGCATAGGGGTCCTCGCGTGATCCCTTGTTTGAGAGATCATCACTTTCAGGCAAGACGTCGTTGGTGTAGGGATCGTCAACACTGGGATAATCGACGCTGGAGCAATGTGATGTTTTCAGATGAGTCAAGGTTCACTGTTGATTTTTTGGACAGACGTAGGAGGGTGTGGCGTCGTCGAAACGAGCGCTTCCAAGACGTTAACGTCATCAGACATGACCGATTTGGGGGTGGTTCTGTTATGGTGTGGGGAGGCATCACTGTTGCTGGAAGAACGGCTTTACATGTTGTTGCAGGGCCTGTTACAGGCCAGTACTACCGGGACAACATCTTGGCAGTCCATGTTGTGCCGTTCGCACGACGTCATGGCCGCCGTTTCATCTTCCAGGATGACAACGCAAGATGTCACAGGGCCAGGATCGTTACAGGTTACCTCCAACAACAGAACATCACCACATTACCTTGGCCAGCACTGAGTCCCGACCTCTCCCCCATCGAGCATGTCTGGGACATGCTTGGACAGAGGTTACGTCAACGTCAACAACGTCCTGCCAATGTCCAAGAACTTGCTGCTGCGTTGCAACAGGAATGGGACAATCTGGACCAAAATGACCTTAGACGTCTCATTAGGAGTATGCCACGTCGGATCAATGCTTGTTTGGCAAACAGAGGAGGATTTACCCGTTACTGACTTGGTTGTGATGCTGTGGTAACTTTGCTGTTTGACCCCGGGTATCATTTTACCCTTATAATGGTCAGTCTGTGCCTTACTTAGTCTAACGATCATTTGGAATAAATCGATGAATGTGAACTTCATTTCATTTTGTCATTTGTTTCTTCGTCAGTTTCATTAGGTGACTTTAATAACACTTAAAAATCAAATATCCCCTACTTTTTTTGAATAGTATATAATAATAATAACCATTTCTATACATAAAGAACAACTACAGTGAATATGGAATTTTCCGATGACTATGCAAAACATGTACAATAGATCGCACTCATTTCTCTGCCAATCAACGCTTGGTATCTTATTATCATGTACCGTTCCATGTACTACGGGTGTAGTAAATGAGGTTCAACTTCGCCGCGAAAATTGCATGGGATCATTCGTGGAGTTCCTGGTGCCGTTTGGTGAGTGATTAAACTGTCAATGCAATTGTAAAATACTTTTATTTTAAAGAAGATAACCGATGTTAGACATTATAACCTAATCGTATCAAAAACGTTAATCCATCCATCAATTAAATGTTGTTTAAACGCCAATCAACAAATAATACGAGGCTACTTGATTACAAAAACACCGGTGAGCAATAATTATTGGGTATATAGTAATTTTAAAAAAAACTTATTAGTATTAGTAAAACTTAATTATTTTATACAATTAATGTGTGTGTGTGTATGATTCTACCATTAGTTCATACGGGTGTCAGAAATGAGGTTAAACTTCGCCGCGAAAATTGCACGGGATCATTCGTGGAATTCCTGGTGCTGTTTGGTGAGTGATTAAACTGTCAATGCAATTGTAAAATATATACTTTTATTATAAAGAAGATAACCGATGTTAGACATTATAACCTAATCGTATCAAAAACGTTAATCCATCCATCACTTTAATGTTGTTTAAACGCCAATCAACAAATAATACGAGGCCACTTGATTACAAAAACACCGGTGAGCAATAATTATTGGGAATATAGTAATTTTAAACAAACTTATTAGTAAAACTTAATTATTTTATACAATTAATATGTGTGTACGATTCTACCATTAGTTCATTTGTGGGTACTACACACACATTCCACCTGATGTCTTTGATCTGGCCCGCGTAAAAAATATAATTACCTAATCAGCATTCTTAATCCCACTAACAATCACTGCTAACAACGAGATGTAAATTAATTAATGACCCCCAAGTCTGTATAAGTTTAGTCGCATTGATTAATTAATGACAGGTATTAACGACACTACTTGTCATATTATTATCAATACACAAAGATAGTTAGATGCCACTTCTCAATCTGTCTGTTATTCCATTTAGATGGTTACCCCCAAAATTTATTTGTACTGTATATTGAGATATTTTTTCGCATTTCATTTTTACGGTCTATTTCAGAGTAATGAAGTCAAATCCGTCGTACAAAGATAACGGATCGTCATTTACAAATCGCTTTTCAATCATGTTTGACTTTTATGATACAATTTGCATGACCACATCTTTTTAACACTGTACTTTTTTACTCGCGGAAATTAGAACCACAATACTCTTTTGACGAAAATGTATCTCTAATCAATTGGACTGCACACGATGTTAGAGGGTATTAAAATTCCTGTCATAAGAAACAAATTCTAAATTGAATCATAAATTAAAATGAATTACAAAACAAATTATTCCGTAGTCAATTGTTTTATTTAATTAAGGAACTAAGGGGGATTAAGGAACCAGTCAGGCGTTATCGAGTACACACGCCGGATGTATATAGGTAATTAAGGAATAAACATTCCGAATATGCATTCAGTCACTGTGACGTCACTGGCGTCTGAGGGGATTAAGAGTGTTTTCGATAATTGGCAAAGTCGTTTTTAAGGGAGGTCTATTTTTACGACTTTGAGTGAAGATAACTGAATTAATTTCAATCAGATTGGTGTGAACTTGCCGTAAAGTTGATATAGTAACCATCGGCTACACATATCCAAAAGTTTCCAAGCCCATCTTATGTGCACTTAAAGTGTATTCAGGGTTTTTTTTAATTATACATGTAGTTAGCTTTTTTTTTGTACTGGACACAGGTTTAATTATGGTATGGTACATGTGTACTCAACTAAAGGGTAAAATGTAATGAAACAAAAGAAATGATGTCTATGGAATGATTATGAAGCTATGCTACAAAAACAGCAAGCACAATTGACAAACATGAATAGTAGCTTCTACTTACACCAGAAGAAAACACTGGCCTGTCCTGTAGTACATGTAATTACCAAAAGCTTAATTAATTCAATAATAATTGTTTTTTTTAATACAATTATACTCAAGTAGTAATTTTTTGATGAAAAAAGGAAATGACTGATGATTATAAAAGAAATTGGTCATTTTTTATATGAATTGATTGTGCATTTTAATTTTAAGCGTGTTTTCACCTGTCGAAGCCTTTGTTTGGGCTATTAATATGTTTTCAGTAGTAGTAGGCATGTACTCATCACATATGTACATTGTACAGGATTGTGGATTGGGGTAAGAATTAATCAAAATGCAATTGAAGTCCTTTAACATGTAATTAGTTGTTGTTCATTGTTAGTGAAATAAAAACTTGTTTTAATTTAATGCAAATGAACTGAAATCCTTGGGGTTGAATCACTCATGCAGTTTATTACCTTTACCAACAAGCCCGAAACTTTGTCATTTAGATAGTCCTATTTTGATTTAGAGAAGAAAAATTATACATAATATAACCAATTAAAATGTCAAAAGTTTGCATAAAAAGTCATCAGGTTGACAATCACCTTCAAAGTGACTTTGACTGAAGACAAAGATCATGTACTTTGTGAACTTAATGAGGTTTCATAATATTAATTGTTTTCTTAGTCTCAAGTGACTCAAGTAAGCTCATCTTTTGCATGTTAACAAAGTTTCCATGTACATCTTGAATAAATACCCGTGCATAGATTATACATGTATAAACCCATAAAGTGAGAAGCTTTGTAATTTGAATCACTAATCTATAGTTTAAAATTACTTTTGGTCTAAACTGAATTTAACAAAACATGACAAGCTTACTAGTAGTGGAAGAATTGTCTCCCCTGTTTGTACAAATCAATACAATTTCAAACCTAACTGTCCTATGTATTGCACTATTATGGTCTATGGCAGGTGTAGGTAGACCAGACATTTTACAATAGAAATCACGGTAGGCCAACATCCTACAATATGTGGACAACAAGTAACAACACAACTATTGATTTTTTTTTATAGACTAGTAATTTGCATAATTTCTAATTCAGTCCTTATCAATGGGATCAACACTAATCTACACAAGTTCCAAAATCTCTCCAACTGCTCATTTACCGGTATTTTTTTTCTTATATGAATTGATGGACTACTCTACCCAATTATGAGAACATTGAATCAGCAAAAAAAAAAGTGTTATGGAAAGAAGACTAGTACTAACAAAATAAAAATCAGAATGGCTTCTACTACAATTTGTACATGTACCTCAGCCCTCAACACCTGCATTTTGTTACATACATGTACTAGACGCATAACAAATGTTTGTTATTGTTAATAAATATATATTTAGGACTGGAGGAATCTATTTGATTCAATTATTTTACAAAATGTATCAAAGTTTATTGTAATAAACTTCGAAGCACCTAATAATCGAAAACATAAGTTACCAGTATTTTTAAACTCTGTGAAAACCACTTAAAAACATTGAAAGTTAAAATACCCATGTGTCTTAACAATGACCTGGGGGATTTGTTTTAATTTTGCATTTCTACTTCAGTACTTGCATCTATTAAACGTCCCCTACATGTATGTAACTTACATGTATATCAAATTGAAAAATTATTTTTTTTAACCAACCATTGAAGTCATCAAGAGGTAATTAATGCCTCTTTCAATAATGTTACTGGCATGTATGTAGTTGTTTGCTGCTATATTAAAGTGTGGTATATGTAATACTCGCATGAGGGTATATTTCCAAGTCATCTTAAAAACGTTAAGTCTGGTGCTCTTTGTGACATTAGGTCTATATTGGATTATAATTCAAAAATATAAAATATACAAGTACCTGAAGCTCACACCATGCCACAGCTACACCAGTTTCGGTATCAAGTCCCTTAAACACAGTTTTGAAAGATCCACGCCCAATTTCAATATCAAATTTGAGAAATCGTTCATTTGGAGAAGTTGACAGCGCTTTTACTTCATATTCATTTTTTTCATCTAATTTGTCTTTCCCTATACCATCTTCAACTGTCTCATTTGTTTCTGAAGAACCATTTCCATATCCACTGTCTATCACAGAAAGCTTTTCTTTGCCACTAGTACTACTACTTGCATCAATTTCAACCCTTGTAATTTCCACAACTTTTGACCTTCTCAACTTCGGATCAAATTTGTTCTGTTTCGAAGATGATTTTGGAGTGGCTGTTGTATGATTGTCTATCTTGGATTTCATTTCTCCATTCTCATCAATACTTGGAACTGTAGGACTGTGTGTCACTAGTCCTACTCTGTGAAACATACGTTTTTTAATATCACTAGATTGGACAGACTCAGTTTCTTTGTCATTTTCAGACTTAGTCCTTGCTTTACTGTCCTGTCCTGGTGGAAAACTACTTTCACTATCTTTTGGCAAAACGGATAAATCCTCCTGTGAATCTGAAGGAAAACTCTGTGACCGTTCTTTACGTAATTCCTTCCTTTCTGAAGAAGCATAATTTGTGATACGGAAGCGAGTGCCAGTTCTTTTGCTTGTACTTGGAGTACCTATCACTTTGCTAGTAATGTCATCTGACAAACACTTCCGCTCACGTAAACTTAAAATTTTGGGTGCATGACTTGAACGTTCCATGACAGGAGATTGTCGATGTACATTGTCTGCATTTCTCTTATGCAGTCTGGAGGAAACAGACAGTTTGGTTCCCATATCTACACCAATCCTACGACCATTCCCTTGAATGTTACTTTTCACAGGAGTTTTACGAAATTTCACAGAGTGATCACACTCAGTAACGTTGCTATGTGTCATTTCTCCATTTACACTATTTTCAATTTGACTCATTTTGAAAAATAAAACCTAAAACTAAACAACACTCAACCACAAAAAAAATATGAATAAACAAACGTGCATTCATATAATAAATTAAATCAAATTTTAAAAAACCAAAATCTGTAATTCATCTGTGTACTTTACATGGTCTATATTGTACTACAATGATAATCAAGGTAGATATCAGATGGTTTTAAACTAAATATGTTCCAACACAATAATCATGAAAGATCTCAAATCCAGACTGTAGGCCTGATGGAAAATCCACTTAAAGTTAACACAAATTGCAACCTCAAGTTAGTGTCTTACTTTCTGTGCTATTTTCACATCTAATAATTCACATTTCACACAATACTAAACAGTAGAAAACAAAAACTGTCAAAGATTGCTGTTGTTGGGTCTATTTCACACAGCCAGCTTGTATAACACTGCCACATGTCTGTAGAAATGGTCTTATGGACTCTCTCTTGTCACACACGTAGTGACTGAAACGAGAAAATCCCAAGATAGTTTCCACAGATTCAACCGGCCACAAAACTTCCGACACACTCCTTGATGAAATAAATAAATGGGTTACGGTGCTCGTAGAATGATCCATAGTTTAATCCCATAAATGGAAAAAATATCCTTGAGTGATGAATAATACAAGTTCCTCATTTGCGCTAATGCTGGCAAATGTCAATGAAAACAAAATAATACCTTTCACAAGCACGACATGTACGCTGTAGTGTAACTGTACAATAGTCGCCTACAATTAAAATCTTAATAATTGAAATGTTCTCAAATAGATAATTGATTGCCAACTTAGATACAATGTTTGTCGGTTAATCTTCGATGCTATCAGTACGTCGAACCATTTTTCTTCATCACTACTTATTTCTTCAAGATCTATCCATTATGGCGGCTTTACCTCCAGCTTCAAGCCTTGAAAATAGTTCCGGAATTCACGTCATCGAGAAATTTGATAAATTTTAAGATAGTTCCAATTAATTCTAAATTATTTCTCCTGCATATAATTCCGGAATAAAGTGTAACACTCAACCCTCCTTTGGGTTGGATATTTCTTAATAAAAATTAAACATATGCGGTCTCTTTCGCGTGCAAGTTGTGAGAAGTCGGATATCCGTCACTTTGGATCACACTGACCCGATTGAGTAAAATCGGTCAGTCAGCTAAACTCTTTCAATGCGGTTCGTGAGCGGTCTAAAAATCAAAATAACCTTGGATTAAAATTTTTCTTGTTCTAATGGTAGTCGTTACGACAAATCTCAATGATTGACAACTTTCAAAGCTTTGATCATCTGAAATATAGAAACAGAATTAGCGTTTAATATATTGTTCACGAGACATGACACAGTAGTTGCACTAGGCTATTCTAGACTGACAAGTCTAGACAATGCATTCGTCATGCACGCCGAATCTACCGAACTAGCTCAGTTGTAAATTGGAGGCCAACCTTTATCTTTAATTCAACTTACAATTGATGTTCAACCATGTTTTAGTCTACACATCGGTTACATATTTCCACTTCCCCTTGTTTCACAAAGTCAAGGAAGCTACAGGATCATTTAAAAGCAATGAATTGGGATCTGGCGATGTTATAACACCTGCATGCATACTCAAGTTTAAAAGACCAAGCTGGATATCGCCAACGATAGATCTGTTTTCAAATTAAATTTTAATAACGCAAAAAAAAGTAGATTTAAAAATGTGGTTAAACCGTTAATAGGTCTTACTGACCTTGGCCTGTGTGGGTCCAAGAGCAGCTATATTAGTATATTAATCAGACAAATAAACAGGCTGAATCTAGCGTTAAACTACCTATAACCCCGAGCTTTCTCGCCTTTGTCGTCTGTATCATAATAGAAAAAGCAAGGCTAGTTTACATACCGGTAGGCTCTCGAGTCTACATTATGACCCAGGGATAATATTATAATTATGTAGCCTACCGGTCTGATAATAAATTATATAAATCACGAGACCTTAACGTGGGATGTTTATACGAATACGATACAGTTTAAGTGGACAAATAAAGTGGGATTGTTTCCTTGAAATCTGTATACATAGCTTAAATTCATAATATTAGCCAAAACATCCTATTCACACCAGGTAGGTTCGACTATATAATGAAGATTTATGTAGAGGTATAAAAGTTAAGGGGCTTGACAGTATTGCGCAAATAATATTATGATATTAAATTCCTGGGTTGAGGCAATATCCTTCAAAATATTCATTCACAAGTAGGCTGGCCTCATACATGTTTTCGAACGACATAACAGATTGGCCAGCATGTCATTTTATTTATGGACAGACTTAATTCTTCGTACAGGTAGTGTTTAGGCCAAAATGTTTCCCTATACTGCTGGTTTCAATACATGTACAAAACATCAATGCATTAGTATAAAAGTAGCCTAATAATAATAATAGGTTACCTGTACATCTTTTTTCAATTCTAAGGCTTACTCAAGTTACTGTTATTTTATGGTGTTAAAATGAAACTCGTAACATATCGTTTTTATATTTAGGGTTAATTGTTAGACCTTATGTTAGGTCAGCCTACTTGTGAATGAATATTTTGAAGGATATTGTCTCAACCCAGGAATTTAATATAATATTTGCGCAATAAGCCTACTATTGACCATTTTGTGAAATGAAATTGTTATGGAAGTTGAGAAACTGGTCGTGTACTGTATTGGATTTTTAATCAGTTTTTAATTAAAATGTTTTCGTGTTTTTTATACAAAATACCAGCCCCCACTTCCACTCCATTAGACCCGACTTTTCATTCGCAGTTGGCCATATCCAAGCTAAAAAACACAACACAGCTTACTGGCTCAATACCCACTTTTCTGATTGATGCTATGATGCAATTATTTCTGTTCATTGTGGTCCTTATCCATTATCCAGGGCATATAATACTCTAAATCTCGAATGTCGTCGAGAATGTTTTATTCAGGGGAACCCCACCGGAGAATCTTGGGCCATTTAAATATCATGCCAGATAGCACCATTATTGGTATATCAACTATTTCATAAATGTTTTGTACGATGTTATGTTGTAATTATATCCGTTTGCAAGAAATATATCGGTATATTTCATATGCCGGTAAATATCTGATCTATAGCTAAGACTATACTTGGTTTAATCATCCTGTGACAGATGTATAATATACAATAACAGCTGGACCTTGTTTTTGTTTTCACCGTTTTCGATTATAGAAAAAAAAATATGTACATTTAGACCATAATGAATAACCTCTCTATATGTATAACTCTAAAACATGAAATAACTGTCCTTTTTAAAATAAAAATATATCGAAATGTAAGAATAATCCGAGAAGTATGCAGTAATACAGAATACCACACATTCATTCCAATGATACTTAATATTATTTATTTATTTATTTACAAGGTCTAAACAAAGTCAGTCTGCACAAGATATCGATTACTTTCATACTAGAAAGAACTCTGCTCACCGAATGAAATGCTTTGAATGCTCGAGGTATTGTTAACGATTTCTTGTCAAAGGACATCTCATTGTACTAATAAGCATAGTTATAGAGGACCATGTATGCTAATATTATAAATACATAGATATATCATGGCTGTTCTCGAATGTTATATTCTGGTATATGCTAAGTGCAGATAAATTCTTTCAATGACACAGAAGGATCTGTTGACAAGACCTATTCTCTTGTTGACGTTTCGTATGGAATCAAAGGCTTGTATTGGAATGGGGGTTAAACTCTCGTCAACACTTTACTTGGTTTTGTTGAGACTAACGCATGGTGTAGCCCTATACGGTTTTCGTACCAGGCACATTTGCCCTTTAAGCCCCCGTAGGCGATAACACTGTCATGTTAAAAATAAGCAAAAATCACGAAAGGTCCTTTCGACCCACCACACGAATTACCGTGACACTGACAGCTCGTAGAAAAATTGAAATGACTATTATTAGACACAAAAATATGGCTAAAGCATTGGTATATTTCCATTAGTGTGTTTTAGCATCAATTAATTGATATCTATTAGTTTTAAGCTCGCGTCAACTGGCATGCTTTCGATTCCCCGGTTGTACGTGACAAGGAGTAGGGTCGCCTTTCCAACCTCGTGGGTTTTCTCTCCCCGGTTTCCTCCCACTGCTTAAGAACCCTACGCGCAAGCGAATTATTGAAATAAAATTAAACCATATGTTAGTGCCGAAATAATGACCTAGTTTGTGTCGAGTGGACGTTAAACACCCTCTCTCACTCCCCCTCTCTCTCTCCCTCCCTCTCTCTCTCTCTCTTAAACTTACGAGGTTTGCAAAATTCAAATGGTTTCGAATGATCAGATCAACACTTCAATCGGTTTTCACGAGAGAGAAATTGTCAGTTGAAATTTAATTGAACATCAAATCTCTGCCTAAATGCTGCAAATCATAACAATGTGTCGAAATACCGTAAAGAAAAAGTATGAATCACTGTTGCAAGGTAATATGTCGGGCTCGGTGGACTGGGAGGGCTAAGGAGTGTGTGTGTGTGGGGGGGGGGGGGTATTCTTTTTGCAGTCTATTGCACGCAAGTAATTATGCGGTTGGATACAACGAGGTCTGATTTTGACATAGAAGTCAGACTTCTAGAACGTAGACTGTCTATATTGAGCCCTGGGTTAAGAGACTCACAGTTGCGAGGGTCACGATTAGTTAACTGAAGAGTCGATCTTTATTTCAACCCCATCTCACTTCTGTTGTATCTATGACAGATTTAGTAATTAAAAAAAGCGACGGGATAGAGTTTTTCTCACACTCTTTCCTTGTGTCCCTTAGCCTTCAAATAATTCACTGTGATCAGCCATGACCAGTTAAAACTAGCGGTTGTCATGCAAGATACGCCCACATTTTGGAAGAAATATAAGGGGAGGAGGTAAAATCAATAGGGTCCATCCTCTCATTCAAGATTTTTCGATTCTTAACATATTTGTTAAGTTTTATCAGAATTGGACAAAAATTCATACATAATTATATCACATTTTGCGTAAAAAGCGGGGTCTATGGCTCTAGAATGGAAGGTCTGATGCGTATCAAAGTCGAACTCATCCAAGAACTTTGATCCTTAACACATAGTTTAAGTTTCATCTTACAAGCTCCACAACCTTCATTCATATTTCACATAATTGCGTAAAGGGCAGGGGGCCAATGTGCACCCAAATTGAACCCATCAAAGAGCTATAGTGATACTCGTTTTAAGTTTCATCTAAATCGGATAAAAGTTGTTACCTCTAGATGGTCCACAACCTGGGCATTACATGTTTTTATACTATTTGCTTAAAGGGGAGTGGCCATTTGACTGACAGATTAGGCCCGATTTTCAGGAAATTCGGACTCAACCATAATTATGATCTAACGGTGATATATTTAAACGGATTTGAAAATAAGATAAAAAAAAATGGTGGCCTAGCTCTGGAGACCACAAGCTAAAAACGTGATATTTCGTACAATCAAGGGTCATAATCTAGAAGTTACGATCCAATTCGCGTCAATATCGAAAGGAACCCAGATCAAAATTGGATGAAAATTCGAACCTCTGGATGGCCTACAACCTTGTATAACATGCTTTTAAGGATAACGGCCATTTTGTTGGGCGATTTCGGTCCGATTTTCACGACATTTGAACCCAGCCGTATTTATGGTATAACGGTGATATATTTGAACGGTTTTTATAATCAAATAAAAACTGTGAGCTCTAGAGGATCCACAAGCTAAAAATGTATATATGGTCCTATGTGCGCCAATATGAAAATCGTATAAAAATTGTGACCGCTAGAGTTTCCACAACCTTGGTATTATTATGCATATATTTGTCAAGTTCAGCATCGCAGGAAATCACCATCTACTGTGTTTGCATGGTAAGGGATTTAGAAAAGAATTAAATTCCACTTCATTGCTGAGTTATTTCATTA